TAAAAACAGCTGTACCTTGATCTGCAGATAAAACTTATAAGTGAGAATCTAGCTGCATCTGATCAACCATAACCACTCAGTGTTGGATTGTTAATTTATGAAGTGTACTATTTTATCAATAATGAGTTAAAGTCTGGATTACATCAGAGATTATTATGAATGTACTACGTCATGGATTGTATTCTGCATTGTGGATTACATGCATGTAGTACATCCTGAGTTATATAGTGCATCATGGATGATATACTTCAAGCTATGAATTATGACTGACTACCTCATCCTCCAACATATAGATGAGGGAGAATGACATTAGTCCCTGTAATGAACTGTAGAGCTAAGCTTGAAGTTTGCAAAATTTCAAACTTGCACTGCTATATGGTATCTGTAGTTATAAAAAGAGGATCTACTGCTATTGATGCATCATGTTGTTACTTTGTGAAATAATTGACTTGTAGTTTTGTTATGTCACCACCAAAAAGTGGTGACATATTCTGTTGACGGCGGTTGGTGGTTGGCAATCAGCATCTGTAACAAATTCTTACAACTTCCAATAACTTAACAAATACTGTTAAGAACGACTTCAATTTTTTTCAAAATCATCTACAAGTTTTCAAAAGTTCTGACTTTCAAAAAGAGGTCAAAAGGTATTTTTTCAACTTGCTCCAAATTGACCAATTTATTTTTTCAAATTTCATCTACAACTTCTCAGAAATTCAAATCTGACTTAAGATGGAACTTATAATATTGTAACTAGGTGGGTGACATGTTGTCAATTCAATTTCTTATGTCATTATTTTGTGAAATAATTGACTCTTACTTTTCTTGGCATACTTGTTAGGGGAAAACACAAAATTTCAATATTGTCATTGATATCATGCTTAGACTGGTTTAATCTTTAATGTCTAATTATTATGTACATGAAACCATGTCGTTTAAATATTTAATGTTTTATGTCATTATTTTGTGAAATAATTGACTTGTAGTTTTGTTGGCGTCTTGCTAAGGGTAGAGGAAAACGCAAATTCAATAATGTAAATTTCAATCATGCCCAGACTGGTTTAATCTTTAATGTCAAATATATTATGTACATGAAACCATGTCGTTTAAATATTTAATGTTTTATATCATTAATTTGTGAAATAATTGACTTGTAGTTTTGTTGGCGTCTTGCTAAGGGTAGGGGAAAACGCAAATTCAATAATGTAAATTTCAATCATGCCCAGACTGGTTTAATCTTTAATGTCAAATATATTATGTACATGAAACCATGTCGTTTAAATATTTAATGTTTTATGTCATTATTTTGTGAAATAATTGACTTGTAGTTATGTTGGCGTCTTGCTAAGGGTAGGGGAAAACGCAAATTCAATAATGTAAATTTCAATCATGCCCAGACTGGTTTAATCTTTAATGTCAAATATATTATGTACATGAAACCATGTCGTTTAAATATTTAATGTTTTATGTCATTATTTTGTGAAATAATTGACTTGTAGTTATGTTGGCGTCTTGCTAAGGGTAGGGGAAAACGCAAATTCAATAATGTAAATTTCAATCATGCCCAGACTGGTTTAATCTTTAATGTCAAATATATTATGTACATGAAACCATGTCGTTTAAATATTTAATGTTTTATGTCATTATTTTGTGAAATAATTGACTTGTAGTTTTGTTGGCGTCTTGCTAAGGATGGGGGAAAACGCAAATTCAATAATGTAAATTTCAATCATGCCCAGACTGGTTTAATCTTTAATGTCAAATATATTATGTACATGAAACCATGTCGTTTAAATATTTAATGTTTTATGTCATTATTTTGTGAAATAATTGACTTGTAGTTATGTTGGCGTCTTGCTAAGGGTAGGGGAAAACGCAAATTCAATAATGTAAATTTCAATCATGCCCAGACTGGTTTAATCTTTAATGTCAAATATATTATGTACATGAAACCATGTCGTTTAAATATTTAATGTTTTATGTCATTATTTTGTGAAATAATTGACTTGTAGTTATGTTGGCGTCTTGCTAAGGGTAGGGGAAAACGCAAATTCAATAATGTAAATTTCAATCATGCCCAGACTGGTTTAATCTTTAATGTCAAATATATTATGTACATGAAACCATGTCGTTTAAATATTTAATGTTTTATGTCATTATTTTGTGAAATAATTGACTTGTAGTTTTGTTGGCGTCTTGCTAAGGATAGGGGAAAACGCAAATTCAATAATGTAAATTTCAATCATGCCCAGACTGGTTTAATCTTTAATGTCAAATATATTATGTACATGAAACCATGTCGTTTAAATATTTAATGTTTTATGTCATTATTTTGTGAAATAATTGACTTGTAGTTTTGTTGGCGTCTTGCTAAGGGTAGGGGAAAATGCAGTTTTATTATTGTCATTGAAATCATGCTTAGAATGTTTCGATCTTCATCTAATATTATGTGTACATGAAACTATGCTGTTCAGTCATTCAATGTTTATTTCATTATTTTGTAAAATAATTGACTTGTAGATTTGTGGGCATCTTATACATCTTAAACAAAAATTCAAAAATATTAATGTTAATTATTCTCAGACTGGTTTAATTGTTAACATCTAATTATTATGTACATGAAACTATGTTTTATTTCATTATTTTTTTATCATTTAAAAATACATGTGGAATGTTGAAAACAAGTTGTCCTAATAAAGTTCATTTATACACACAAAAAGATTTTGAGTCAATTGTTCTTAGGAAAGAGTAATGGTTTCGGCCAACAAACCACTGCATGCCAAATTTTTGTGAATCCTTCCTTCCCTGTGAATTTCATTTTACATCTTTCATCTTGCTTAAAGTGCACTTGATCAATTTTTAACATACAGGGTGTCCCAAAATATTTGCACTCTGTTTATGTTCTGTTATTTTTTCCAATATTTATTATATTTTGTCCATTCTCCATACTTAATACATGATGAACAATTGACTAGATGTAAGTAGAAATACTTTGATTTAGGTCATTAAATATTCATAATTCAGTCAAAGTGATGTCTGAAATCTACATGTAAAAGTACATCTATAAATATGGTTTTGAAAATTGCTTATCAACTTTGAAAATTTAATCTATGGGAAAAATGTGATTTCTTGTTCGGGGAGATTCCCCATTTAGGCCCCATGATTATATATAACCACAAAAAGTGAAATATCTTTTCTTGTAATGGACGGATAATATTTTCTTTTATTGGACATATTTTAATTGGCATAACTATTAGATACATGTACATGTACATAAGGGTGATATGAAAATTGAACCACTAAAACTGATAATATTTACATTAAAGGGAACTTTGTTCTGTACCGCCATCTGACCCGAATGAGCCACTTGATGGTGAAACTATACTAGTAACTTCCCACTCGCATCTGAGTTATTAAAGTTTTATGTATTGTGATTACATCAACTGTTTCATATCATATGTATAACTTTGCCCAAGTTGCTTTCATTTAGAATGTAATTGATTCTAATTAAAGAATATCAGGAAGGTACATGTACTTCGATGAAAAACTTTGAAGCTATAGTTTAAGAGGTGCCATTTCAACCAGGGACATGGCCAGGTTCAAGAATTACATGTAGGTACAGGTGAGGCAATGGGCAAGGCAAACTGGGCTTGTTTGAAATAACACCTGGATATATAAATATATTTCTGTAAATAATAATGAGACATGTCCTTGCTAGTCTTACAAGGCCATCTGTATCCAGGATTGTGTTCTACATTGGTTGTTATTTTAGTTGCTGTTTCTTTTGCGAGCAGTCTAACCTAAGTCTCATATGTCTCATAACCTCTGATTTTTCAATTTTAATCTTACAGATGTTTTTTTTATATTTGAAGTGAGTAATAGATGTGGCATTGTCCATGATTTTGTGAACTCTATAACATAATATAATAATATATAATTATAATAACATAATATAATAGCAAAGACTTTATTCACCTCTGGCCTCACCTACTATATAGATGTTGACATAATTCAACCAGGGTAGCCCCATTGGTGTGAATCCCAATGGTCTGAATCCCATTGGTCCGAATCTCACTGGTCTGAATCCCAGTTGCCCGAATCGCAATCGCTGAATCCTAATCATCCAAATTGTCCGAATCGATCCCATTTGTCCAAATCCGAATCATCCGAGGCCAAATTCCATTGGTTCAAATCTGAATCCAATGGGATTTGGACGATTGGGATTTGGACAAATGGTGTGTAGTCATTCTAACAAAATATATGGATTTTGAACTTTGATTCATTACTCATGTCATGTGGATAATTGGTATATCCATTGGCGAAATGCAATTTGGTGCTATGGGTCTTGGCTGAGACTATCATAAAATTGGAAAGCTTGTGTTACTGTGTTAAAATGAAATGAACAATCGCAACATCAATGTGGTATTTCTATACAGAATTAGAGTGAAATATAGTACACAGTGACTGGTATAATCATGGGCTTCTAGTTGAAAGCCCATGGTATAATCGAATCGGAAATGACTCTTATTCTGTATGACTACAAATTTATAAATCAGAAGTTGATATATTTTGACCGTCGATTAACCTCATAATGCGACATAATTTCGCAAGAAATACTAGTTCGTGACTTTTGTGGATAATATTTCGGTATTTTTAGCAAATTTGTTAAGCATATCGTCGTTAAACATTATGTATCTGGACCATACACGACCACTCGTAAACCCAAGTGGCGGCCATTTTATTTTTTCTCGTCGAAGCCCTCTCCTTTAACTCTTTTTTTATGCTATACGATGTCAGACTCGTATTAATTTATCAACCAACGAAATATTTACAAAACCATTTAAGTTACTGTAAAGTTTCAAAGAGTTTCCTTCACTAAAACATCGTTAATTACGAGTCTAAAAATCCAGGTGCCCTAGGGGACACCTAGGTGTCCCCAGGTGGGGGCACCTAGGTGCGGGACACCTAGGTGGTATTTAGTATTACCCGTCAATTGAGGAATTCTGGGAACAAAATGGCAGCGGCTAAAATCTACTTCCTTGTTTCTCGACGTTGATTCTTTGAGGTATTAGCACTCAAATTGATCTCCAAGATATTCAAAAGTAGGTCAGTACACAAGATTCATATTAGAAGATATTAATTAATCACTTACAATACCACAAAGACCTAAATATATATCACATTTCAGGGAATAATTTTTGTCCGTTGCATTCCATTTGATTTTCTTAGAATAATATTTATATTATATTATGCAAAAGGAATGGTCTATATGAATGGTCTCTAGACTCTAGATCTTTTGTTCAGTTCAGTTCACATGCTATCTATTGCAAGACTAACGCCTGGTGTAACCGTCACCATGTTATTCGGTGTTTTTTAAGTAGCGCAAGGATCCTGCCATGACCGTGGCAGTGTTATTTTGTAAGCCTGGTATAACCGTGACAACGCTGTATTATATTGCAAGGCCTGTCATGACCGTGAGTGTTATCGTGGAAGCCTGGCGCGGCCGTTGCATTTACGTTTAATTTAAGAATTTTTTATTGTTGTTTGTTAAGGACAGGGTGCATGTTGGGAAATTTTCTGCATTCCTCAATTGAGTCACATGTTATTTTACAAACATGAATAACTCCTTCCCCACATTGTCTACATCTTCCAAGTTTGCACAAAGAGTGCACTTCTGTGCCTAGAAAAGCCTTGTGAGAAGGTTTGTTTTGTAAAATGTATAAAAAATGAGAAAATTCAGTGAAAAAAATTTCTGAAAATTTTCTGATTTTTTTCACCGAATTTTCTTGTTTTTTATACACTTTATCAAAACATTCTTCTCACAAGTCTTTTCTAGGCACATAAGTGCACTCTTTGTGCAAAACTGGAAGATATAGACAATGAAGGGAAGGAGTGATTCTTGTTTGAAAAATAACATGTGACTCAATTGAGGAATGCAGAAAATTTCCCATCATGCACCCTGACCTTAAGCGATTTGTTTATTATCCATGTTTAAATATTTGTATATTTTATGTCTCCTGTCTAAATTGTTTATTAGCATGACACAAATATCTTGTCTTATTCTGTGTAAATGATTAATTATTTTAGAATATGCGGAAATAATGTGAATATAATGTCTAGTAGTAATTTTGATATTAACATAATTAAGGTAGTTAAACACCATGATCATATAGTTAAACTGTTTAATTATATCGTATCATTATAATGACGATCACTTAAAATTGTTTAAGGATATTTCTGACATTAATATGATTCATATTTACAGTGCCCTAGTACTAGTCATTGCAATACATTATCACGGACTAAGCCTAAATTTCTACATGACCACCCACATATGTGGCCTTGCAATACTATATTACATTGCCACGGTCATGGCAGGCCTTGCAATACTATATTACCTTGTCACTGTCATGCCAGCCTTTGTAATACACAGTGTCACGGTTATAGCAGTAGTCCTAATCATAAATTTCTACATCACCACTCTCATACCTGAACTTGCAATACTACATTACACTGCCACGGCGGTCATACCAAGCCTTGCAATACTATATTACATTGTCACGGTCATGCCAGGCCTTGCAGTACTATATTACATTGTCACGGTCATGGCAGGCCTTGCAATACTATATTACATTGTCACTGTCATGGCAGGCCTTGCAATACTGTATTACATTGTCACGGTCATACCAGGCCTTGCAGTACTATATTACATTGTCACGGTCATGGCAGGCCTTGCAATACTATATTACCTTGTCACGGTCATGCCAGGCTTTGCAATACACATTGTCACGGTTATGGCAGTCCTATCATAAACATTACATTGTCACTGTCATGGCAGGCCTTGCAATACTGTATTACATGGTCACGGCCATGCCAGGCCTTGCAGTACTATATGACATTGTCACGGTCATGCCCGGCTTTGCTATAAACATTGTCACGGTTATAGCAGTCCTAATCATAAATTATTGCAAGGCCTGTCATGACCGTGGTAATGTTAAAGCCTAATATGACCGTGACAATGCTTATAAGGCCTGTCATGACCGTGGTAATGTTAAAGCCTGATATGACCGTGACAATGCTTGCAAGGCCTGTCATGACCGTGACAATGCTATATTATATTGCAAGGCCTGTCATGACCGTGGTAATGTTAAAGCCCCGTATGACCGTGACAATAGTTGCAAGGCCTCTCATGACCGTGGTTGTATTTAAAGTAGCATGAGAACACTGTAATGACAATTTTTCTTCGTGTTTAACTACCTTAAATATGTAAATAAAGACTACTAAAAATGTGTATTAATTTCACAACGAAAACCTAATTTTTACTCATAAATAATTTGCGAACAAACTATATCTCTACTCTCACTCAAGGAGCTTCGATTCGAAAGCATATACTTTCTATAATGATCAATTAATAAGATTTATTTTTAATTGGTGTTAAAAATGGGAATGGGATTACCATTGTCTTTGAGTTACAATGTCATGCTACACCCAGTATAGGGGGTTTGTTTATTGGTAGATTATTTGGTTGCTTGGTTGGTTGTTTGCTTGATTGGTTGGATGGCTGTACAGGGAGTTAGGGATCAGCTGGGTGCTTGGAGTGTTTAAGGGCACGTTTTGGGCCTGGGGCATGCCATAAAATGAAGAAACAAATTCTTAACCCCGCTAGGAACAATACATTAGGTACCCAATCACCCAGTCACCCAATTTTTAACACAAACCAATTGGCAATTGGTCAGGCCAAAAGCAATCAGCAGTGACTAACTGTAAATCATATGAACCTTTGTCTTATGTGTAGGAGATAGTACTGAGTATAAATCAGACCTCTTTGGAGTTTTGTATTATGTATGTGATCTGGTCATTGTATATTAAACATGAACATAAAATATTATTCACTTGTATTGTACATGTAGGTTACCATGGCAGCTCCTGGTAGACAGCTCCAGGGTCAAGAACTCAATGGAACAAGGCATAGTCAGGAGCATTATAGACAGAAATACAAGCAATTGAAGCGATGTGTCAAGCAAATGGTTTTTGTAAGTATTGTCACATGCATCTTTAAGAAAGATTGATGTTTTCTCACCTCACACTCTTGATTTCTGATATCAATCAGAATCAATCGGGCCAAAGCTATTTTTGAGGTTTTCTGCTGGTGACGGGCCCTTTTCATAAAAAAATTGATCAAAATGCCATATTAGCATTTTTACGGACTGTATCAACACCCTCTCAGTCAAATACAATTATGACGTCATAGACGAAATATCTTGGGTTTGGTCAGCAATGAGTTAATCATTCGACTCGGTAGACTATTCTGTGTCAGCCTTCATAATCATAATTATATCCTTTATTTTATGTTTCAGATGAACGCTGCAGTTTGTGATGAGGTTAACAAGATGGAGGAACGCGTTACAAGATTACGCGAGGAGCGCAAGTGAGCAAAAGTTCTTCCTTTCTCTTTTGACATACAGTACATGTAGGAAAATATAAAATGAAAATAAATTAGATCAAGTAATTCTAGAAGTTAGAGCATTCATCTGTCATAGTCACCATTACTTGCCACAATCATTTTTACTTGTCACAATCACCACTTACTTGTCACAATCATTATTTGTCAGGATATGTTACTTGTCACTATTACCATTACTTGCATTGTCATATAGTAGCATTTGAAATCTAAATGTATTTGATAACATTTAAGAAACTGATTGCATTTTATACTTTTCAGGTATTTATTGAAGAGAGTTGTGCAGAATCAGTCATTATCTGATGTGACACCTCAGATGATTAGTAAACACGCATCACTTCCCTCACCCCCCAAATCTCAATCTGTCACCATGGCAACAGTTAAGATGGAGCCATCGGATCCACATGAAATGTCACATCTTACAGTAACGGGTGAATCTGAGAAGAGGATTCTAGGGGGTGGTGGACCAAAAAAGAAAAAAGGTTTGATTTCTGTTTATAATCAGGTAATTTTGGCAACCACTTGTATTGTTAATTTAAAATTTTTTCACAAGATTCACTTTGTCTCCACATTCTTCAAATAATGATGGAAGTCTACCTCCAAAGTGAAAACTTAATGAAACAGTATTCCAGATTTAGTTAAAGTCTACATATTGGTAATAGAATTGATCATTTTCAAATCACTGAATGAAGTAATAGGAGTGCATTTAGCCATTTATATTGTCTTGACATTGTTTCTCTGATTTTTTGTTCACCGTAGGGGTACATGAGATAGTGTATGTTATCCTTATATAGTTATGTCACCACCAGAAGTGATGACATATTGTTACTCTAAGTCTCCAAATTTTTGTGGACACTGTACAGCATTTGGTAGTTGGTGTTTAGTGGTTGGGGTTTAGTGTCTGTAACAAATGACAGGTGGTTACATTTTGCATGTTAATGCCATGTGAAATAATGCACTTGCAGGTGAAGGGAAAGCCAAGTCAAAGAAAGCCATGAAAGAAAGGCGTAAATTGGTCCAACCAATTCCAGTGGATAACAATGGTATCCCCCTGTTCCCTATAGAACTTGGCAATCTGACTGTTTATAGTCTTGGAGAGGTATGTCGTTGAGTCAAATTATAATAAAGTAAAACCATATTCATATAGAGTGAAAGGGAGACAGTCCCGTCTGTTCTTAAAAGGTACATTACTTTTGTGTGTATAGGTTAATTGCAATTTGAGTTGACTTCGCATGTTTTGACAAGAAATGTGTTTCATTATAATTTTTTTATTTAGGTGGTGATAAATATGATATTTTAAGAAGTAAACATTGTTTCATTGTGTTTTCATATTTTGAGTATTGATGAAGTTAAATAAATAGTAACATATTTTATTGTCCACTCTCTAGGTTGTGAGCGACAGGTCAGCATTCCATGATGAGTTAAACATTTACCCTGTGGGCTACTGTAGTACTCGGGAATATGCCAGTATTGTAAGCATAGACAAACCCTGTACATATACTTGTAAAATCATAGATTCTGGGACCCATCCAGTGGTAAGTAATAATTTGTGGTGAAGTTTTGCAATTTCATGGCTCTAATTTTTAATTGGTTAAATTATTTCAGGAATTGATATTTTCAAATAAAAAAATTCCTAAATTTGGTTTTCTCGTGAGTGCAGTGACCACTTGTTTCCAAACTGCCAAGCTCACTGACCATTTAAACATATATCGTACCTTGTGAATATTAATTCAGTCTAACTGAAATGAATGATTTTATAAAAATTTTGAAAGTGGTTTCAATGTGTATACCTGATACATGATTCTCAAAAATCAATAATATTATGATGTTGATTTTAGTTTGAGATCTCGCCGGATGATTGCCCAGAGAAAACAATAAGAGCCAACAGTGGGTCAGATTGCCATTCAGCCCTTCTAACTGCCATTAATGAAACAAGGTATCCATTTCAATAGTTGCTTGTCAGTGAATTCCTTCCTTCAAATTTTTAGCAAGATTTAGAAAAAAAGGAAGATTAAGTGTTTTTTTTAGTCAGTTACATACTTTATTGCCAAACTATGATACATAAATTATACATCAACTGACACTTTAACAAGTGTATGAAGTTGTTTTACGAAAGAAAATATGGTTGTTCAAACATATTTCAATGTTACATTTTAGAGGGTGTGAACTGGTGGACACAAAAGGAAAGGGACCAGAATTCTTTGGTGTTTCTCATCCCACAATACAGAATCTCATCCAAAACTGCCCAGGAGCAAAGAAATGTATGAAATATGGTTGGGTGAAATTTGATGTTTGCAATCCCGAAGAAGGAGAACTTGTTTCTGCCACTGAAAGTGACTCCTCTATTAGTTTAGAAGCCCTGAAAAAGCTACCATTGTATCAAAAATGTGAGTAGAACAACAGTTATTAGTATGGATGGATATTTCACCAAGAATCATGTTAAAAATTAACCTTGTTTTTGAGATTTGTCAACCCAAAGCTTAACATTAGTATCCCAAAATCACTTCAAAATTGACCAAGAGTGACTTTCATTTATGATTTTGATATACATTAATACACACCTTTTGAGATGACTTTGTATGTTGCTTGCCCCTTTTTCACTCACTCTCTTGGTGATTTTACCTTTTAGCTTTGTAAATTTTGAACAATAATGTTAGACCCCTGGAGTGATTTCTCTGTGAAAAATTACCCAAGTGCTACCACATAATACTTTACAGTTTACATTAGTGAACCAAATTATTAATTGATATATGAGTCTTTTGTTTAATCACTATGTTTAGATTTTACATGTTAGTTTTACGTTTTAAAGGGTTACATTATAATTTCTAATAATGGCAACTCCAAATGAAGAAAGTAAAGTGAAAAATAATTTAAAATTATTTTAACATGAAAACACTTGCAAATGCCCTGGCAATACACTAGATGCAAGTAGAAATAATCTTCATTTACGTCATGACATGTAAAATTACTTCTATAAATGTGGTTTTTAAAAGTGTTAATGAACTTTGAAAATTTGATTTTCTTTAAATGTGACTTCCTGGTCTGAGAGGTTCCCCATAGACCCTGTGTTATAGTCACAAATAATGAAATATCTTTTCTTGTATTGGACAGATAATGTTTTCTTTTACTGTACCTACTGTATTTCAATTTGTTTATCAGAAATATAAGGGTATTTTGAAGTTTAAGGGAACTTTCTATATATCTGCCATGCTATCTGTCCCAAATTAGCCACCTGGTGGTGAAACTGGTAACTACCTACTCGCATCTGGGTTGAGAAAATAACTTGAGAAAATGATTGTAACCAATGAAACCACTGAATCTATTGTTTTGGATTGTTCTTGCAGGCCTGAAGGAGATGTTAAAGCCCCAAAGTGCAAGTGCAGCCCTCAGATCCCTGCTGACAGCCAATAAATCATGACCCAGCACTGTAACCTAGCAGACTCTTGTCAGATCACTGCTGACAGCCAATAAATGAGGACCTAGTAGTGTAACCTAGCAGACTCTGTCAGATCACTGCTGACAGCTAATAAATGAGGACCTAGTAGTGTAACCTAGCAGAGTCTGTCAGATCACTGCTGACAGCCAATAAATCATGACACAGCACTGTAACCTTGCAGACTCTGTCAGATCACTGCAGTCACAGCCAATAAATGTGGACAATGTAGTGTAATCTAGCAGACTCTGTCAGATCACTGCTGACAGCTAGTAAATCATGAGCCAGCAGTGGGACTGATGATGATAGTGGTCTGTAAGATCACTGTTGGGCTCTGTTGGCAACCTTTAGTCTGGACCTAGCACTGGGACCTAGTGGTGCAGACTTCATTGTTAAGAATTCTTTGGCAAAAGCGGATATACATGAATAGAACTAGTATACCATTGACTGATGTGAAAGTAACACCTCAAAGAAAACAAATACTTTATCTGTGTGATTTAATATTGGGAAAACAAATAAGATACAAATGAAGATATAAAGGAACCTGTTTAAATAGTCCTTCTGTAACTAAAGTAAGAGTAACTTAGGGAGAAACACATGGGATAATACTAATAGAAAATACTTGAAGGTGCCCCAGGTAAGCATTGTATAGAGCTAACTGTTTAAGCAAACAAAAGAATACAAGTAGATCTCAATTATGTATTTCATTGTATCTTACAATTTACATTTTATACAATGTACATGATTTATTAAAAAAAAAAAAATACAAAATAAAACATTGCTGCTGTATCAATAAACACCTGTTGCTATAGTTATTCAACTGATGCACCAACAATTTCACTGTTTCTTATGGACTTTTCAGTGAATTGTGTACTATTGAGTGGCAATACATGTTCGAAAACATCCTAACAAATCTATATAAATACGATATCCTATAATTATCCCATCAAACATAGTTCAGAAGAGAAGCGGTCCATCTGTTAGTCTTCCCAGATGGTAACTTATACCTGAAGATTTGGTTAAAAAACTTTTGAAATAATTTTTATTCATGATTTAATATCAGAATCTTATTATTTTAAGCGCAGCAAATGAGTGAAGATGTTATCCTAGTTTGTTTATGAGGCTCCATTGATTTCTACAGATTCCCTTCCCCATTTCCAGTGTAAAAGAGAATATGGGAAACAGAGGCCTGTTGCAAGACCTTTTATCATTGAATGGGGTTCTACTTTGCCAACATACACGATACATCAACAGTCAACACGCATTCAGTGATTCATTCAAGGACTAGTTATATTTGGCATATCATGAACGAATTGTAGTTTCATCAAGATTAAATTCATCATATATTTAGTACAAATCATTGTGATCTATTTTAGCTTCCTTTCAAAATAACCCCAGGCCTTTAACAAGCAGTCTCTAATACTGATTCACAAAACAAATAATATTCACATTCCATACATTTAACAATTACATTTATATTAGAACCATTACATTCACCATGATGGAGTTTCCCCACAATTATGCATTTTCAAAGGTCCATGTGCTGTATGGCAAGTGATTTTAGACGGTCATATCGTTCACCAGGAGTACTTCCTGGTCATAAATACATTGGTTTTTGGTAAAACAATATGTTTTCTTTCAAGTGATGTCCCCATGATAGTAAAATATCAATCCAACTTTCTGAAAAATTATGGATCTTGTTTTTCTCAATTTAAACATATGGAAAGTTTCTTCTACACTATATTAACAATTTCTGAAAAGGGGGTGGGTATTGAAATGCGTTAAAGATAAAAACCACATATCCCATGTTTAATCTCCCATAGGGAAAACTCGTGCTATCCATTGTTTTCAGCATACCTTTGGTCAGCGAAAATTGATATCTTCAAAACTAGACTTTCAATACCATTCTACTTTTGAAGAAGTTTTAGACCCCTTGTTGAATCATCTTTTCATGCAATAAAAATCAGAAAAAGAAGATCCTCTTTTGAGTAAATAGGTTTAACATTTTGAAAAAAATGTTGACATGGGGTCCCTATTCATAATTTTTCAAATTGTTTAATTAATATTTTTATCACCATGGGTACTTCACTTGAAAGAAAACATGTTGTTTTTATGCCCAGAAAGTACTCATGGTGAAAGATATGACTGTCTAAAATCACTTGCCATACAGCACATGGACCTTTCATACTGTACAGTGTACATGTACAAAATGACATGATTTGAAATATGTGTACAATACTATAAATTAAGTTATTATTGACGGTAGATATGACCATGAAAATTCTGTGCGATAAATAATACATGTTTTACAGTAAATAATACAATACCAGAGAACAAGGAAATGCTCTCTATGTACGGCCGGTATTGTTCATTGTAGACAGCTGTCTTAAATGTATTAATTTCACATCCTAGGTCAACTATCTATTTTCACACTGGAAAACAACAATCTCTGTCACATATACTAATAAACAATGTCTACCTAATCATCAAAAGCCATGCCATAAGCTTCCTTACTGTACACTATCAAAGATGTGGTATCCAGGTAATCTTGAAGACCCCTCACTATAACAACCATACCAAGTGTCAAGGGGTCTTTAATCCTTCATATTACAGCATTACTACTCATTTACATGATTAGAATGTGGCATCAATTGCCGATTTGCACAGTTAAATGCTCAGCCTTGAGAAGGAGTGATCAGACCATGTTTTCTTCAGTCTGTTAAAAAAACTGTACGATACATAAACCATTTAATTATGCTAGATTCCTGATTTTTAACGTTCTATTAATAATTCATAATACTATATATATGACATAGTCTAGGCAACTTACTAGATTTTAGGCAACTGAAACAGTTAGAAACAAGCATGTAAAGTGTTGAGGAATTCCAAGAGCTTATGAAAGCCCACGAAATGCCTAACTGATAAGATGACCGACTTAAAATCAATTTGCACACAGTCCTATCTTGAAGCCTAGAGCCTCAGCTCATACGTATAAAAAATTATAATTTATAATGCAGGAATTTTGACCTTAATTTTAACCTCATTATCAGTTCCAACATTTATATACTGTTTTGTATCTCAAATTTCCATAGTGTAGCAAGAAAATACCCACGTTAGAAAAAATGTCACTTGTGCCAGGTTTTAGTACTGTATTATTGCTATGGAAACGAGAGAGTCTGAGTGATGTATGATAAATTGACACATTACATTCTAACACGAGGGGTGTAAAGTGAAGGTCCGAGCCAGACTTTACTACTTTAGGGTCAAGTCAGGTTTGATATATCACACATCCCTATTACAAGTCAATGTTCTCCCTCCATTTTAATTGTTCTCTTTTCCTTCTTATCGTTATGCACTCAGGGCTAGTTACGATCACTTGGATCTGAACTATTGAAAACTGAAGCCAGGGAATATATTGTGTCAAAAGATGATATGCCATCACTGTTTATCCCAAGCATATGGACTACACCATTCCTTCAGGTAATTTAACATTTAACTTCTCTGCTACACTATGCTGGGCAACTGCAGCTTCTAATAGTGAGAATAAATGAGCCATTTCTATCTCAGTCTTTGAGAGTCTTATAGCCTTATTGAATAGTTCTATAGCCCTATCGAGGTGACCTCTGGAAAAGAAAAAAACAAAAACATTACACATATGCACAAGACAAAAATCTGATGATGTATCTTTATTATGCCATTTGCTGTTGTGTATTATTATGGTCATTTACTTTGACTAAGCATATTATGTAGTTGAAAACTTGTCTCAAGTTTGCAGTGGGAGGGATACCAAGCTCAAATATGATTGGTCCTAGGGACAGTTAGGTATAAACAGAGGATTGTCTGAGTTTCTTTGAGGAGCATGCTTACTTTCAAATCCTTACATGTTAATTTACAAATCATCACATGTTATTTTTCAAATCCTTACATGTTATTTTTCAAAATCTCACATGTTAACTTTCAAATCCTCACATGTTATTTTTCAAAATCTCACATGATAACTTTCAAATCCTCACATGTTATTTTTCAAAATCTCACTTGTTAACTTTCAAATCCTCACATGTTATTTTTCAAAATCTCACATGTTAACTTTCAAATCCTCACATGTTATTTTTCAAAATCTCACATGTTAACTTTCAAATCCTCATACATCTACTTTCCAATCCTCACATAATTATTAACTTTAAAATCCTCACATGTTTGCTTTCAAAACCTCACATGTTAACTTTTAAATCCTCACATGTTAACTTTTAAATCCTCACATGTTAACTTTTAAATCCTCGCATGTTAATTCTATTCTTACCTTTGAACTTCTAGTGTTCCTAATGTCTCATAAGCAAATTCACATTTGTCATCTACTTTCAAAGCTTGTTCTATTAGTTTTGCTGCCCCTTCAATGTCTTGCTTCCACTGTAGCAACAACAATCTAAAAGATACAAGATACAAAATTGCAAAGTTGTAGTAGGATGAAGATGAAGATGTATTTCAGGGGCAGACCTTAGTAGTTTTTGTAATGCAAACAGTACCTTATCACATCTTGAGGTATTTGGTTGAGGTATTTTACAGATACTAGATATAGTTGTTAAATATTGCAAATGGTTCATATCCTGTTTACAATACCCATCCTTTATACAAGGCATTAAGATAGGATTTTAGTGGCCGCAATAGCTCGGGAAAACACTTGTTTAATACTCTTTATCTTAAAACAATCAAATCTTCTGGTCTGGTGTGAGTAAGAGTACATCAAGCTTTTCTAATATTGTCAAATAATCATACTAACCCTCTATGTACAAAGCAGTTGGCATTTTCAGGGTCTACTTTGAGTGCCCGCACAAATAGATCGTCTGCCTTCTCAAAGTTCTGCTGCTCTGACAGAGTCTGAAATCGAATAAAGGGAAATGCATTTTGGGTGTGTCATGATTAGATGATATTTATTGAGTGTAGGCCAATATATCAATGTGTGTCATGAACATAGTTTGAATTACATTTTGGTGAGAGGTTAAATGCCCATTTTCTATTGTTGGTAATCATTGAGCCTGGCCATAGGAAACCCGGTCTTATCACAAAAATTAAAATTGTGCTACAGAGCCAAAAATGTGCCCAAGATTAAGAGAAAAATATGCTAAATTCAAATCCGACTTTTTGGTCTATAGTATATATGCTAGGAAAAATTGTTAAAACACAAGTCATGGCTCATTTGAATGGTCTCTGTGTGCTTTTTAAAATAAACAAAAAATCAAAATATTGAAAAAATCTGTGATAAGACCCTTTTACCTGTGGCCTAGCTCATATATAGCAGCAACTTCAAATTGAAAAAAATCCAATGAAGATTCATTTGCATATTTTGGAAGAAATGCGAGGCTCAATCAATTAATTATGCTTAGAGACAACATTAATTCATTGAAATATTGAACAGGTCCCTTATATGACATATTGTAATATAGCTAAGGTTCACAGACTCAGACTCAAGCTTTTTTATCAATAAAAAAATAGTTGTAAATACCTGTCCGTAAAGTGTGTATATTTCTGAACACTCTGGGAAACGCTCTAGTAGTTTCTCAAACTGTGCCATGACCTCTTGAATAGATGTAGGAGCCATCATGGTTCTCATTGCATTGCGGTACTCTAAAACAGACCAATATAATTAAACAACTGGCTAAACATAGATCCACATTTAATAAAAGATACACAACAAAGAGGTATAGATGTAAAATCTTGGTGAACCATACTGCCCTCTCTTTATAACATTAGCTGTTTTTTGGTGTCATTTTTGGTGTCAGTTAGGAACTTAACAATTTTGTTGTGAGGATTGGTAGGCTTACTTGTGTATATTCTCTGGGCTTCTGCCACAGCAAATCCTGGACTGAGTTCACATGCATGCTCAAAGTCCTTTACGGCATCATCCATCTTGTCAAGTAATAGGTTTAACTGAAAATAAGTATGAATGGACTTAAACAATGTAGCATGCTAACTATGTTTTTAGACTTAGGCCCAGGACCTCACTCTCATTTACTACCATCTCTTTTGTCGAGCTCTAATAATTTAAAGAAACTTCCAGACTCTAAAATTTAATAAAAAATATCTATAAATGTGCAGATATTTATCTGAATAAAAACATTGACATTTCACATTTCTTCAAAATATATACCAATATATATTATGAAAAGAATTGTTTTGTGCTTTATGCTCTCTGGGGTCGGGTGCAGCTGAGTGATTGTTTTTACCACACAGAATATCAATACCCACAAATGACCAGTAATACATGTATCATATTGAAAGAAGTGCATTGAGAGTTACATCCGCAGAGATGAAAAGAGGTAAACAGAATGAATACATTTGGAGAATGGTTTGTGAACTGTATGTGAACATACCTGTCCTCTGTGGTGGTAGATATCAGAGTTTTCAGGATCAACCTCTACAGCTTTCTTAAAGTCTTCAATAGCCTCTGCTTCTTTGGTTTGTTGAAGCTTCAAACTGCCCCTCTTTATTAAAGCATTGGATTTGATCTGAAAAAAACCATTCAGTGAATAAGATTTGTATATGACACTATCACTTAATTAGATACTAAGAATTTTCCAGCAAGTTAAACCCAGATTTCATCTAGCTGCATAAAGAACAGATAAGAAATGACTGGATGGAGGAGAAAACAATACAAGATGATACTCAAATAATTACTTTAAGTCTTTTAGAATAAATATTCTATAATATCTAGAATAATTTACCATGCCTTCAGATCAGCTAAATAACACAATGATCAAGAATCTACTCGACAATTATTATTCACTTCAGTTTCTATAATAAATGAATGCAGCTTACTCTTTTATCTAAGTTATCCATCTCGAGCAATTTGTCAAAATCAGCAATTGCAGTGTGACCTTGACCTTGAAGAAGATGGAAGGTTGCTTTGACAAGAAGGGCCTCTGGATTCTGGGAAGCCTGATACTCCTCTGTACAGAGTCTAATAATATTGCTATATTCTTCCTTTCCAAGGCATCTTTTCACTTCATCAAAGGGACTGCAAAAGTAGAATTTGGCTTCAGATTTTACATTGTACAAATACAAAATATAAGGTACAATGTTATATACCATGAAACACATGTTTAATAATACCTTTATAAATCTCTCAAAATTATCATTTTACAAAATATGACCTCTTTGCCAATTTTTTCTTAATGTCAAAGATTTATTTCTTAGAATTTTTTTCAAATTGATGTCTTAATGAAAGGGTCATGTGCCATATCCCTTTCAATACTTATACTTATATCAACCTCTTTATATGAGCAAATCAAAAACTATCCCATTAATGTTCAATGTATGAATGAATCTAAGCTTGTATTCGTGAATGCAAATCTCGGCTACCGGATTAGCCTACGAACTCATTTAAATATGATTATGACCAACTCATTTAAATATGAATAGTACCTGCCACTATTCCATTCATACTTAAATAAGTTGATCATAAAATAGTAGGTTAATCCAGTAGCCGACAGCTGTTATTTTGTATCCGCAAATACAAGCTAAGTGACCCACGTGTTTCCTTGCAGCTTCTCAGGTGTCTCATCCCTGTCCTTCTCTGGTTCACTATCATCTGAAGGTCCTTCTATTACTATATCTTCAGTGGATGTGTTGTGAGCCTTGTTCTTGTCCTTGTTGAGCATGGAGATTATTGGATCATTGGCAAATGCAGAGAAGTAAATCCTAATGAAATGTTTAGCTGGAAGCACTGGTTCTCGACTCTGAAACATATTGTATAATGAATTGTTTACAGGGGTTTCATTAGCTTAATTGGGACTTCTTAGCTTTATAGCAGCTTCATTAGCTTTATAGTGATATCATTAGCTTCATAGGGGCTTCATTAGCTTGAAAGGATTTCATTAGCTGGATAGGGGCTTCATTAGCTTGATAGGGCAGGGGTTCATTTGCTTTATAGGAGCTTCATAACTTCTTACATAATGTACTCACATTGTATGCTTCCTTTGCTTTGACCCTGCCCAGTTGTTTCAAGACCCTATCAGCCATGACCAGACTGGTCTGATTCTGGAAGCTCTCTAGTATACATACTGCAGTACAATCTAGAACATAAATAAACATGTTAACTAAGAGTCACATTTATTATTCACAAAATATTTTGAAATCTCAAATTACTCATTCGCAATAATTTTTGTTATTTACAATATTTGTTGTGAAGGCACTGAAAACAAGACCATCCTTATCCTGTCCTTAGTATCTCCCTCTGTAGTTGCAATATTTATACAGATTTAGATTTTGATAGGTCACTCAGTATTTGAATAAATTACCTTCAAGACAAGTTGAGAGATTGCCTATATGTTCATTGGCTTTTGCTCTCCGGAACAAAGCTTTGATGTAACGATTATTTAATTCAATAGCCTTTGTACAATCCTCCACAACAGAAGAAAAGCTTTTCTGAAAAAAGAAAAGTTACCATTTAGGAAAACCTGAGCTTTAAAATGCAGCAAATTGTTGCAGAAACATAAATACAGTGAACTAGTGGATCTGCAGGGTGCTCCCCTGGTTTTGTAAACTGGGGATAATTACAAGAGATTTTGATCAAAATCACTCAAAATTCATACATTTTTTCATCCAGAATTATTACATCAATTTTTCCAATTATATTTGTTTTTGTTTAAAACCTGTCTAAGTGAAGACCTTTCTCTCGTGAACACCTGTGTTTAGTGAACACCACACCAACACACATTTTACATTAACATCTGTATTAAATCCCCTCTCTGTAGTGAACACCTACTTACAGTAAACACTCTTTGTGGCTACATAGCTACAATATTACCCTACTTTTCCTCGATCTGAAAGCCTAGTGACCATTCTGATCATTTCAGGGCTCTCGCCAGGCTTTTAAAATGTAACATAAATACAGTTCACCATGATTGAATGGTTATGCTGAAGATGTTTCCACCACTTCCTAAATATTTCCTGGTGAGAGCACTGCATTTATAGATGTAAGACAGGACTAAACTTACCAGTTGTTCATAAGCAGCTGCCCTGTTTTGGTAGAATGTTGAAATCTCCTGTTTGTTAATGTCAGGGCAGACCTCAATGGCTTTAGTATAGCAGTCGATAGCCTGGTCATATTTTCCACCCTTGAAGTACTTGTTGCCCTTGTTTTTGTGGCTCTGGGCCTTCTCTAAGGGTTCCTGGAAAGGGAAAACTTAGTTTCAAATGTTGTATCTCTGTATTTATCTTACATATCTACTACTTGTCTAGAGCCATTATAACAATACAGAAGACATGAATTTGGATAGGTGTAAAAATTCTGAATGAATATATGAGCCCATGGATTTATATTTGAGCATGCATTTTTATGGTAAAACTCACATAAGGATTGACAAATTTGTTTTCTACAAAATAAGGCATTTTAGCCACTCTATTTGGGCAGTGTCAGTCCTTATAGATTAACTTCTTAGCTCTATCACACAATGTCTGATTTGGTATCTCAAACTGACCACATAACAATGTTTTTGAACTATTTCATTGATGTCGCTGCAACCTATTTTATCATATTTTTAATTATTTAACCCCCGTGAGAACGATGATTACTCTGTGGGAGAATAACTTCCATTAGCAATATTTCGATATGGAATTCAACTTGTCTCCAGGTTTGCCCTGTTTTTTACTGTTTTTTCAAACGGCATTTTGTTAAAAAGAAACATATGATAATTAGCGTATATTTACGCATGAAGACGTGGGTATTATGATGTTCTTTTGAGCAATTTATTGTTTTTTTCAAAAATTAAAATCACTGATGTTTTCTTCAATCTTGGATTCATCAAAAAATGAACTTTGATGATTAATCATAATTAACAATTTCATATCAGCTGGACTAAAATGTATTTTCGACTGTGTACAGCAACCTCCATGTACGAATTTGTGACATAGTTTTCCACAAATCAACAATCCTAATGGGGTTTATTTCCATGCAGGGTATAATGTATCAATTTTTTTAAAACTGCCCTATCTGTCGATCAAGTCTTTTATCAAAAGCATTAAAGCAACTGGCGAGTTTGAACAGCCAAATCTGTCATTGTGTCATTTTTTCAGTAACCTGTCTCTCCCTATGAGATAAATGCCAGAAAATTTTGACAGGTATAAATTGTAATTTTGAAACTGTAGAGATATGACTTCAGTTGTGCATGTCAAAATGACTGGTATTGGAAATTCCATAGCGCACGCACTGCAATACACACGTAGCTTACTGTCACCTGGTATGCCGAGGTACCCAAAAAATGAAGAAAAAATGAAAAGAAAATGGTGTCGACATTTCTCTTACTCAGCCTAGCAAAGATAGCAAGGAAGATACTCCAAAACCACATATCAAATCATATGCAATAAACTTTTCCGATGTCGTCTTTCAATAAATTAAATGGCTTCAAAAATATTATGAAATTTTTAAGAAAAATTACCTTTTCTGCAACTTCCGGTTTTGGTTTAGCACTGTTTTCCACATCTTCGACAGCTTTATTTTTAACTTCTGAAGCACGCTGTGATCTTCGTCTCATGAGCCACAGGCCTGCAAGACCTAGACATACTGGGGCACCTACTGCAAGCGCTATTTGCCACCGAGACCACCCGTCACTCACGTTTTCGATCGGAGCCATCTTAGATTTTTATCTAAATGCCAAACTATATGAAGCACTTTTGAAAACAAAAGTGTAATATAATGTGAAACGAAAAATTCAATAATTCTTGATATTTTTTGACATGTTGTATTGACACCTTTGGCAATTCCTTATCAATTTTCCAAAAAATATTTAGATACAAGGGGCGGTTGTAGGGGGTGGGGTGGTAGGGGGAGGGCCCTCAGGATTTAGCGTACGGATGGGTTGTGCAGGTGACACACCCGGGTGCACAAAATGTGCTTGCACACATAGCGTCACCAGTGCTGAGCTTGCACCCCCCTAGAGCATTTTTGAAATTTAGAATTCTGAGACTAAGAGACATAATTGGGGATGAAAAACACAATCTCTAAAAAAATCTGAAAAATGAGGACAGTCACCCCCAACACCCCCCCCCCCTTTTTAGAAGGGCCTATTACAGATATCTTATAAGGACAGTGGCATTGGCTACAGATCTGTTTTTGCATGATAGTTGAATTCATAGGTTGAGGGAGAAGTAGTGGTATAAGCTCAATGAAGACATGGATCAAGATAAATACAATGACTATCTTCTATATTGAGCTTACTACTTTTCCCTCAGCATATGGTTGAATTATTGACATTCATCAATGTTTTATAAAGTTGTCAAAGGGTATCTGAGTGACAGAGTGCACAATAAGCCCTGAATAGTGTAAAATAAATATACAGTTTTGATTTCAAGATCTAAATGTTATGACCTTTATGAAAGAATAAAATTTGGCAAATGGTATTTTGATTGTTCCATTCTCCATATTCTGATAGTTTAAGCCTGGGTCATAGGATTATCTCTTATTTAAATAGTTTAAAGAAACAAAATTATATACTATTGAAAATATGGGAAAGGGTAGTCAGAGGGCCTCGGATGTCTAGTAAGGTGAATGAATACAAACTATTGCTTACTTCTATAAATTAATGTTTTGATAATGCACCTGTTCCTGTTAAGATTTTTATTTACACTAGTCAATCAAACCTTCTTCATATCAGAAATTCTATTATTCTAATTTGAATTGATGAAGTACATTTATAATTTTAATAGTATCATAAGCTCTCAGCACAGGCTGAAAATAAACATAGGAGAGTGGAATCTCTACAAAATATTTACCAATTAAATATTGAAAACAACATAAAAATAAGTTCCATTTTCCAAAAGCATGTATTCTCAGTGAAGATAAAAATATACATCATATTTGTAAGTTAAGGAATTTATTTTATCTTTAATAGCAATGAAAGAATACAATTATTATGTAGAAAATTTATGTTCTATGAATGTGTTTTGAAAAATTAACCCAGTTGCACTAAAATAATACCACATTAAAAGTTAACATAGATACATGTGTAGACATTTTTAGACACATTGTCCACAGTCCTTCTTCCATGTTTCCACTAGACAATGTCCATTATCAAACACTGCATGGTTAAAATGTCCTTTCATTCTTATATGGTCTATATTTCTATCTCGTAATTGAAATAATTTTCTAAGTAAAAATATATTGTCCCTAGTATTATTGCTGTAGTAAATCCTCTATGGTGGAACACACATTGTTAAAGATATCATCTTGGTCATCGGTGCCATCAATCCAATCTGTAAATAAAACTTTTTTTATTAATTGAACATGGGACTTTTTTGCTGTGCTCGAATCAATCAAAAAATGTTAAAATTTCACCATTTTACCAAGTAAAGTACCAATCTGACTACTAGTCACGTTCCGAAGAGATATAGTACAGGGTGACACCAAAAATGACACCCACCTTATGTTGCATAACTTGTTTGTCTATCAACGTATAGACTTGTTTTTTAGAACATTTAAAGTTGACATAATGCAAAAGCATCTTGAGAAATTTCAGATGTATATCCCAAGTGTGTCAAATTTTATGATCGTTACAACAATTGCTCTAAATGACGTCCATTCCTTTGCAGACACACATGGATTCTACACCAAAAATGCCACCCAGCTTCTGTAACATAACTTTGTAATCATGATATTGGCTAGTAAAATGAACTCCATTAAACACAAAATAATATACTAGTAGTTGTCATTGATAAAATCATTATAACTTATTTCCAAAATTATGTTACAAAAGATGGGTGTCAAGATAAAGTTGTGCCATCAAAGGAATAGACAACATATTTTGTAACGCTAATCAATTTGCATCTAGGTGAGCTAGTCATCTGAAACTTCTTGTGGTGTTGCAAAATGAATTGTAGTTTTAATGTGAGAAAAAAAACAGTCAGATTTTCTCAGACAAAAAAGTTATGAAACATTTTTGTGTCATTGTCATTGTCATTGTGTCACGTGGTACTTTAATGACAATGGGACCAGCTAAAAGTGTTCAGATTGGCAGGTGTTCACATTTCAAGGGTTTTCACATGGAAGCATTGTTTTCCCCATATTGAAATCTATGGGAAGAAGAATGTCTTCTCTGACTTGTTAAAGTAATTATGGTAATATAAGTGAATGTGCAGTGTATTGTTCATAACTCTCAAGAAATACATTTTCTAGCTTATTCAAAAATCCAGTGAACTAATCACTGCAAGGACTTTCTGTGTAATATCCATGAGTGTTATTTTGGATAGGTAGGAAAGAGCTACTTTTATACCTTATTTTACCTTCATCAACAATAAACCTCGAGTCACATTGGAATCATTTGTGGTAATGCCTTACCTAATACCTTACCTATATCAGTTTGTTGCTTTAATTCTTCTAACTGTTTTTCATACATTGGCCAAACAACCTTGTCAAAGTATCCTGGAACATCAGGTGGTATATAATCACGATACCTAAAATAAAAGAAATGAATAAATTGATTGAAAAATGATTAAGACAAGCCCTTGCTTGCAACAAGAACATGACTATTTCAAAAAATTTAAAAATAATTCTAGTAAAATCAGACTTTAGTCTTTACCATGTCATTTCCACACATTTATATTACTTTGTATTTTTTTCAGAATTCTACATTTTTGCTGGATAAATGTAAAGCCAGTATGGCCAAAATATTGTCAGGGATTTTCATTTTGAGTATTTTTAACATGGAAAAAATCTATGGCAGATTACAAAAATGGAAAAATGTTAATATTGAAAGCTTTCAGATGAGAAAGGTGTTCGGATATACATATTTGACAGCCATTTGAAAAAATTATTGTCTATTGGTGATTATACTTGTATTTGAAATGGTAGGAAAGATACTTGTTAGTTCAAGTAAAAATATTTCTTGAGATTCAACAATTCCTCTACTTTAAAAATTGTCTCTTACTTTCTTCTATTCCAGGTTTCTTCCTTATTTAATGTAAAGAAATATTTCTTTGTAAACATTCCATCAAATTTTCTGAAAATGAAAATAGTATCATGGGGCACTTTGTCTAATATTTATTTATTCATTTATTTATTTAATAATTAAACAATTTTCAGGAACATTCATCATAATAAAAAACAAATCCTAGAAATGTCTAAGAATTCCATTTAACTGAATTTTTATCAAATAATTAATTGTTTTAAAGTCTAAACTGCAACCATAGATTTGACTTGATAGATAGATAGATTTGATCATTATCACGGTGCCCATGTCAAGCTGCGCGCCTACTTAGGCGCGCAGTTTGTTTCGATCACAAACTGCGTGCCTAAGAACATTGCATCATTGAAGTTGGAGTCTGTATTTTGAAACGTAATTTAAAGACATTTATCCTGCATTGTTTTCTTGTTCAATGCGTTCATTCTGTGGCGAATATACGAATCTTGCAAATACTAGCAAAAACTATGTGCAAATGAATCTAAGTTTTAAAACATAAGCAGATTAATGGCATTTTCGTCACTGATTTAACTGGAATTTATATGTAAATCGATCTAGCACTTTAAACATAAATGACAAATACTTTAGACTCGTTTTATATTTAATTCCTTACACATTTATCATGTATAATTCAAAATATTTCGAGATAAAACAGATAATCAGGAGATTAAAAAGAAAGAAATCACAAACTGCGCGCCTATTTTAGCCAGAAATTACAAACTGTGCGCATACACTATTAAAACTACATATTGTCATTGGAATTTCTACAGAGGCACGTGTAGGTGTTTTTCATATAGCTTTGGAAATTTTGCTTTATCGTCAGATTTTATGAGATTTTCATATTGAAAGTCAAAATGTATAATAGAAGGGACAATTAAGTTGGGAACGAAAAAAACTTTTATTTTCATATCACCATCTTGGTGGATGGACTCTCATAGTGTTTCAATTATGGGGTTCTACTATTAGACATATTGTGCCTTGTATGGCGCTTATGTTTTTTAATAATACAAAACAAGCTTGGATAGGCAAGCAGTTTGGAATATTAGGCACGCAGTTTGGGAAATACATGTGAATATAGGCGCGCAGTTTGACAAGAAAAATGTTTAAATCACGTTTATGGCGTATTATCGTTTTGAACACAAACTTTGCTGCTTTAATCAGATGGAGTGATCCTATATATTCTAGCATACACAGACACAATGGCTGAACAAACGGCAAATGACGATAAAAAGACATAGATATAACTTTACACTGTAAATTTTGAACACAGAAGTTACTTATGATCCTTATATTGAGATAACTAGGTTTACATCGGGAAAAACATTGAGTACTATGAGTAAATTAAGTTCATCTTCACAGAATGGTACTATCTTTAGAACGAGACTAACCTTGTATTTTTCGTATTTTGGCTCTTTTTGGGAGTCGTGTCCTCCCCGTCTCACATTTTGAAATATGCGCGCAGTTTGTCAGAGTTTCAAACTGCGTGCCTAGTAGGCACGCTGCTTGACATGGGCATCGTGATTATGATGTCTAATACCATTACAGATTTCTTTGGGCAGGGATAAGGCGGGTCAATCTGAATGTCTTCATAATACAGTGAAATCTATAAAGTGGAACACCTATGTAAGTGGAACACTTTTCAGAGTCCCATGACCAATCGACTAAAAATAAAGCTGTCAGTGCAATACCTCCCAAATAGAACACTATTTTGAGGTGACAAAGGTATTCCATTTTCACAGGTTTTACTGATATTATGTTTTGAGACAAGACAGCATTGGAAAATTGACCTGGTCCTTTACTTACCTATAGTTAAATATAGTGAAGCCTTCTATAATTATTAAACCATGTGATGTAGCATTGGTCCTAAATTCATCAATGTCTTCTTTCATTTTAGCCATATCTAGAGAATTCAGTTCTGCAAATAAAATATGAAAGGTGCAGATTTAAAGGCCCTGTATAAAGTCAGAATTTTTTTTAAAGGTGACAGAATAGCATGGTATTCTAGGAAAAGGCACAAATCTCTTTATGGAAATATAATCAGACTCTTTTAGCTTTTAGCTTACTTTCACCTAAGAGATCACAACTTGCATGTCTCATGTTTTCAGTTGATCTGATAATGAATGAATAACCAAAATTAGAAATGTTTTGCTGAGTTACAAGGAAAAAGAATTGATCATATTAAGCCTTGAATCGGTTTTTAAATTGTGAGTTAAATGTGACCTACTAACTGAGTGAGTTTAATCAACTTAACTAAGCCTACAATACTACATACCTTCCCAGTTTGCATGATTCAGTTCTGGAATGATGTTCAACCTGGGGTCATCCGGTTCCTGAAATTATTTAAAATTAATACATACATGACCTACATAATAGTAAATAAATATTAGGTCAAGTAAATAATCTTGATTACTCCTTTTGTATTTATTCATGCCTCGAGTCATGATTTACCCCCCCCACCCTCAACCAAGTTAACTTAATCCTTTCATAACAACTTAATACTTACCAGGAAATACACGTCTTGGTGAAATATTTTGAGCTTTTGGTACTTTTTTAGTAATTTGTCACATAATGTTGTTTTGCCACCACACGTCACTCTGGAAATACACAAATTGTTATGCATTACACACAATGTTCTTGCCATTACATGTTACTATGGAAATACAAAAATTATTATGCATTAAATACAATGTTCTTGCCATTTCATGTCACTCTGGAAATACACAAATTCCCTAGAAGTCACATTTTCAAAGAAACTTAAATTTTCAAAGTTGATAAACTCTTGTCAAAACCACATTTCTAGATGTACTTTTACATGTATATTCCAAATATGACATCAGTTTGACTGAATCTTGAATTTTTAATGACTAAATCAAGATTATTTCTACTCGCATCTTGTCTATTAACAAGAAATAAGCCTTAAATTTTCAAAATTTGGGCTCAATTTTTGGTTTTAGGGGCCCAAAATTTTTTGCTGTGCAAGCCCGGAAGATTTTTTCCTAACTCAAAGTTTGGGTACCCCTTGTTAGCTTCTGGATCCACCATTGTGACCGAACACCAACCATCATCCACACAAAAAGTTGGAGACCATAGCAAAATAACAATATTTTGGACAGAGACGGCAGCCTGTGAACAAGGAAAGAAGTCCCATCTCAGTACCGAAGTGATTTATTAAAGAAGGGGTGAGATCCTGAAAAAATTATTGATTGCCATACCCACTAATTCCTATAAAGATCATTGTTGGTTCATTTATCCACCCATTCACTAGAAGTACTTTCACTTTCGTTTAAGTTTACACTTCCGGTATTGATTCGGTTTAAAAATGAATTCAACAACTTTTTGTTTAGATGATCTGTCTGAGTTATTTCTCGTGCTGGTTGTTCCTTAGTATCTCCGTCACCAGCAGGCGGGTTATTTACTTGATCAGTCGTGTTATTGTGTACAGAATTGCCATTTATATTAGAGGAATGTTTATCAGTTTCCGACATTGCTGCAGGATTACGCTACGTAAGATCCACGACGAATTTTTGAAATCAATTTCTTTTGAAATCATAGAAAACCGAATTTATCTGCACTTTTGAAATAATTTTGGAGTTTTTATATGACCATCAAATTCACATCAATTATTTCGTGTCATAAAGGACTTAAGTTTACTTTTTAATGAATAATATAAATAAAAACTGAACATGAATTATCGTCGTGGAATTTTACGACAACTCCTAATAAGGCAATGTTTGGCTAACTTACGACGGTTGAAATAAATTAATATCACGTTGAAGCTCCAAATTTACTAGCTTTATGACGGATTTACAGCCATCTCAATGACAACCCAGGTATGAATAATAGTTTTACATATAGAATATATACAGAAGAACAATTTGGTATATGATTTACATAACCAGGGGTTGTACAAATTTAGATATTGGACACCAACTGTCAACATTTTTTCAGTTTTCTTGAAAAAATGTCCAGAGCTGAGAGGGGACAAGTTTCAAAGTCAACTCTTGCAAAATAAAAATAATTGTGAATATTTCTGAAAAACATATAGTTTGTAAACTATGTACTTATAATATTATTAAATAATTAAATTTTGTTTGTTTATCCAAGGAGGGACCGATCGAGAATGTTCAAGTTAAACTTGAACTGGGCCACAAGGCATCCTTTCGTTCAGAACCAACAGTGGAAGGTTTTACCCACGATTGGACTGTATTCATACGTGGACCTGATGGATGCGACATTCAGCATTTTGTGGAGAAAGTGGTATTTTACTTGCACGAGAGTTTCCACAAACCCAAGAGAGGTAAGTTTGATTGTTTTTTACATCATTTCCCTTTGCAGAGACACATGATTTAGATACATCTGACAGGATCTTTTTTCAAATGCAATTAAGACAATGTTTCCAACATGTTCAGTAGAGATTAGGATGTCTTCTTTGATAGCATTCCTTGTATTCCATTTTTTTAAGCATTTTGAAGTGATGGTGGCTTTTACACATAGCACCATCGTCTGACATTATTACTTCTTATAATGTTTCAATAAACGATATTAAAATAAGATAAACATAGGCAGGAGTTTCATTAGTAGCAGACAACAGGCGATTTTCACTGGTTGTTTTCACAAAATTGCCTGTTGATTTTAGGGATTTTTCCATAAATTTATGATTTCTATAATATTGCCTTTTGTAGCCAACTGTAGTAGAAACTGACAAAATGTTTGCCACATCTAAATTGAAAATCTAGAAAAAATCACAAAACTTACTTAAAAAAAGAATAAGAAGCAGTTTACCTTAATATTGACAAGTTCTTTATGTGATATAAGCATACAATTCTTGGTATTTTAAAATCAATGAAATCACCCCACTTCATTTTCATCGGCATGAAGCAGAATTGAAAGATATAGACCATGAGTACCATGGTAATGTTCTCTCTTGCTCTGCTTGCTCATGTAGATCTCATCAACACATGGATAAAAGTATCTACATCCTCAAATTATAACTTAGGACATTTAGAAATATCACAATACCTTGTTTTTAGTTTGAGATTTTTTTTCAGCTGATATATCACTTTGCTTAAGACAAAGGGACTTTTTTACTTACAAATATCATGGTTCTCTGGGATAAGGATTTTTTTAGCCCCTTTTCTTTTCAGTTTTCAAATCCCCTGTCTCCAAAATCTTTTTATTTCATTATTTTATTTTTTATGTTTTTTCATTGCGTTCGCTTAAATGATTCTCAATTTATATGCCCACCATTTTCTCATCAATTTTAACTACTGGTTATGTATTTTTATGTTTCTATAGTAACATATTGGTGAACGTAATATTTTGGGATATGAGGTAAACTGATCGCTAGAAGTGAGATAACTTTGACATTTATTTGTTAAAAATTTAAATGCTGAAAATAATTGTGCAGTTTTAAATCCATTTTTATATGATGTATACGTATATGTAGCATGTTCTTTGAGGATGGTGTACCATTTGTATTATACAGTGCTGTAGGTCATTCAGTTTAACACAGCCTTATTTCAGTACCAGTAAAAGTAGACACAATTTCAAACATGACAAATAACCTTTTAAATGTATCTCTAATCACCCTATTTTAATGATGAGAACATGCTTTATCCCAACAAAGAATCCCATCCCATTAATGTCTATATTATGATAATAATGGCCCTGTTAGGATGCAGGTCTTTGATGTTGTTAAAATGACAGCTTTTGTGCAGTTGTTGTATATATTGGCATTTTGTCTGTCTGACTTTAATGTTATTTCTGCTTGTATTGTTCTAATAGATCCTTTTGAAGTTGTCTCATCTCTCTGTCTTTCTTTGAGGTGTCATTGCAATTGATTGCATGTAAAATTTCTTCTCTTGTGATTCTTGAGATCTACTATATCTATTACAATCAGATGTTTTTTTATTAAGACAGGTCTGAATGATTTAAAAGAATATCAAGAGGACATAAAGATACAGTCAGTCGTAAGCCAAAATCAGCTTGTATTATCTTTCTTCTAAAGTTAAACAACATGATCAATTTTCTTTTGAAATGTTGTCACTTGCCTAGATCAAACTACAATATCCCAGATGCAAGTAGAAATAATCCTGATTTACGTCATTAAAAATTCATAATTCAGTCAAAATGATGTCATATTTGGAATATACATATAAAAATACATATAAAAATTTGGTTTCCAAAATTGATCATCAACTTTGAAAATTTAATCTTTTTTGAAAATGTGACTTCTAGTTCGGGTTGATTCCCCATAGACCCCATATTACAAAATCACAAAAAATGAAATATCTTTTCTTGTATTGGACATATAACATTTGCGTTATTGACTGTGGAATGGACTGTGGGAAACATAATTAAAGATATAATTCATGTAAGAAAATGAAAACCTCACATTGTGAACACTTTTCACCACATTCTAGGATGTCTCATAGACTCCCATATTGCGAGAACCTTGAATTTGAACATCTTTAGCTGCATTTCAAAACAGTGTCAATCTTAGACAGGTTTCACTGCATAAATGACAAGCCATCTCATATGGGAGGGGGAAATAGGCAGAAATTATTGTAGATTGGCTAAGATATGAACCAAGAAAAAACATTTTTATCTATGTCAAAAATTGTTCTATATTTTATATCTGTGCAATTATTAACTCCTTTGAAAATAGGAATATGGGAGTCTTAAACCTCATATCTAGGATTACCCAAGAAGATAATTCTCCTGAATAATCTGTCCCAAGAACGACAAAAATAAGTATGTTTGACTGGTTGAGCCTGGAAAATTTGTCTACATGCTTTCCAGACTGTCCAAAATTTGTTCTTTTTATCTGACTCTGCTGACTAGTGAAACCCCTGATATCTATTACTTAATATAAGTTCAGTGTTTTTCCATCAGGGGTGAAAATCAGACCTCCAGTGATATCAAAATCAAATACAATACAAAAGATATGACAACTCAAAAGTTAAAACAAATTGTGGAATTAAATACTTTAAGATAATGCCATGGATGGTTACAAAAGTGATTTATGGCTTATTTTATGTCATGAATTATGCATATCTGCAATGATAGGCTATAATGACAAGGACACTTGAACATTTTGAATGGAGATAAAGCCCACCTAAGTGACCTAAGGCATCACTAGAACATCTTCATCTTTTGCTGCATCCTGATTAACAAGGTTTCGGTTTCTTCAACTTCATGTTTTATACAGTAGATACTCGCTTACCTAGTTTAGCTACAAGCCCTTGTGACTCCCGCTCCTCCCGCTACTTTGAGTTCACAGATATGAAAATTTACTGTTATAACCACCCCTTGTAAGTGGAAGCTGTTCTACTCGAACTGTATATTGCCTCTAACTCTTGGGCCCCCATACAGTACATACCATGTCTTTATAGAGGTGAAATAGAGGGGGGGGGGGTTCAGAGACATATTGCTATGTGGAAGATTTCTGCGTCTTAAATTTGAATAACTGAAACATGGTATACATTACATTTTATATGTTTCCATAACAATGCTCATGAGGTGAAATGCAAAAAAATCAAATCGTTACATGACTTCAATATTTAGATTTGATTTTTTCCTAATGGACTACAATATGTCGCCAGGATCAATATCTTTTTTGAGAACAAATTGTGGCTCCAAAGCAGTTACAATTGAATTATTTCCTCACATCATTTACATATCATTAACATAATGTAACCTACTTAACTATACCTACACATTTCATTGCTTTTTATTGCTTTTTTCTCAATCACAACTGTTGAGCATAAATTGTCCTGCTTGTCAAAGAGAATTTACTCAGCAGGATAGATCTATCCATCAATGCTGTCAAGTCTCTTTTCATTGACAATGAGGGGACAGATCAGAAATTATAGCTAAAAACCCATCACTATGTGAATTATCAGGTTTTGGAGTTAGGATGTAACTGAGATATTTCTGTTAACATGACACACACCATTCTTGGATCTGAAAATCACTTTTGAATGCGGTGACTTATATTAGTTGAAATATCCCTTATCAAGAATATGAGGGATTATTATTTCTTTATGTTTGACTCGCTCCCCAATCAATAAATATAATTAAAATGAACAGTTAAATTAATCCATCTTCCCAAGTACTTGATCTACTCATAGTCTTATCAATTAATAAATTTACAGTATATAGAGGTGAACATATGTTGTATGGAATGAAGAGGAGTGATCAATGTTCTCGTGGCTAATATCTTTAGGATTGATTGAATATTTTTCAAACGTAGAAATAGGACGTTTTACTGAGCTTTTCTTCAATATTCATTCATTAAATAGTCACAAGGCATGTAGGTAAGAAATTTGAACATTTACGATTTTCTCATAACTTTATGTCGGATATGAAATAATTTACAGAGATAAGTCATGTGAAAATACTAATGATTCAGTGAATGTAATATTGCGGGAAATTAACATTTCTACAGTTTTTGTTCTTTTAAATGTTAATTAAAGCAATTAGTATGGATTAAAAGCTCATATCAAATTGATAGCATCGTCGTCAGTAAATTACATGAAAAAATGTAAAGGTTATTTAATGAATATGGTAATGCCAACTCTAATTTCCTCTAGATATCTTCTCTCCAGGCACCCTTTCTAATTGTTTTATTTGGTTCCTTAAAAGAGAGGTTCGTCTATATACCAAATATACAGTGTATTATGCTGTGACCCTCAGGATACTATCCAGGTTTTCCTCAATGGGGTTTTATGTAAAGTTGGTCAAAATATGCCTTTTCATGATTTTACTATTTTCAAGTAGGTGCACATACATTTCCAAGTTGGTGCATACCTATTTTCAAATTCACATGTGGATACAGCACCCATCTGCTTCAATGCTGAAGACTGGGGAGATCACAATCTCTCTCTCTACTCTTTCCTCTTTTCAATGAATGGGGAGGGGACAAGGGGTAAGGGTGAATAAATATAATTTTCATTATTTCTTCCTTCATCTATTTCAAACTCCAATACATAAGGTCCATGCTGCACTTAAGAAAATATGCAATGACTCAAGTATATTTTATATATTTCAACAGAGTAAACTTTGGTTTCATTATTAGCTGGGCATTTTACAAATTGAACCTCAGTTTCCATTTCTTTACAAGAAACTAAAGAATGCTTAATAGAGAATTTATTCGTAATTTACATTTACTGAGAAGTTTTTGCTTGTTCATCTCTAATATAGCACATGCATTTTGACATCAGAATTCATTATTACCATTTCCTTCAGGTCTCCTGCATACAGTGTAACTTGTGCCTAGTCTCACTTATGATTGAGTCCATTATTAATGCATACATGATTGGGTCCTTAATAGTCATTAGTCCACCCATATTGTTCAGTGGTAGAGTGTGTAACAATTCTCCTTTTCGTGGTTTGCTCTTTAAACGAGGAGACACGGAAGACTTTCCTTATATGGACAAAATATTACATTCTAACCTACATAGCTTTTAGGGATATCAGGGTTTCCCGATAATGTCCCGTCCCTTGGGATGGGATGGGACAACCCTCGTGTACTGAAGATTTCGGTCCATGTTCAGGATATACTATTTATCCTGTATATGACCCTAAAACTTCCCAAATACACAAAAATATGATCTAAACTAGATTTATCTGCCGGACTATGTTCATGCAAAATGTAAGTTGTTGAACTGTTTTTAACTTATTAACTGTTTTATCGGTTATGTCCTGTCCCGAATGTGTCCCGAAATAGATAATTTCTGTCCCGTCCCTTCCCGAAATATTTTTGTCCTGTGACATTCCTAATAGTTTTACAGTATATATTTGTTAAACATATGAAGGGCAGCATGACCTAACAGTGTCAGCTCTACTTGAATCGAGTTGCATAAAGGAAAATAACATCACTTTTATTTCCTTATCAGCAGTCACACACCAGCCACCCTTTGTAAGAGTTGCTGATTCATATCACACTCTGTATATATAGAGATAGCTTTGAGCCAATCAGATGTAGCCTGGTTGCTCAGCTTAAATGTTCTACATACACGTACTGAATACCGTTTGAATGCAGGCTCGTAACCACCTTTTGCCAAGGGGGGTTTACTTTTCAAAAAATTCCAGAGGGTTCACGTTTGGCCCAAAACACTTGAAAAGTGCTCAATATGGTGAAATGCTTATAATATTATTGATGACCTATGTTGTCAGAGTGATTTACACGAGTTGGTAAGGCTCAGGGTATGACACATGTGACATGATTTAATAAAATGTTAAAACACTCCCTATTAGAACTAATAATGATTATTTTATTAAATGATCAATGACCCCAGATATTGTCATCGTTTGTTTAATTGAATTGCGATTGGGTAACAATTGAATGCTGGAAGCTAACTTCACATGTACATGGATGTGATTGATTGGTTAATGCAGACATTCCTACTAGATGAAAAGAATAAAAGAAAAAATTGCTTCAAAAGCAGTTATATATAATTCATATCACACATGAAAATAGAAGTTTTGTTTTCTGTTGCATAGAAACATAGACAATGTAAATGATGGAGGATTTAGCTTGGGATGACTTAACAATAGGATAACTATTAAATTATCCATTCATATTTTTCAGTTATCAAGGAACCACCATATGAGGTGTCTGAAAATGGATATGCAGGTTTCCTGCTCCCGATCGACATCTACTTCAAGAATCAGGACCCAAAGAAAATCCGTGTGACCTATGACCTGTTCCTGAATGCCCAGGAAGCGCCACCTATTAATCATATTCGCTGTGAGAAGTTGACGTTTCAGAATCCAACTGAAGCATTTAAGCAGAAGATCATGAAAGCTGGTGGGGTAAGTGAGAGTTGTACTGTGTTATCAGGGTTCTCAACAGGAAATTTTTAGACCCCAGATTTTTCACTGCAAAACAACTACTCCTCCTCCATGTGAGATCAGAGAAATCCTCAAAATACTACTTAAGATTATCTTCCTATTTTAATCTCAATATACATTTCTAAAAGGTTTCTGACTTCCTATTCCTTGTTTGTATCCAGTTTTTGTATTTTCTCAAGAGTTTTACCACAAATATTTGACAAAAATGTAAAATTAGACTCCAGAAAAAACACTTTAGACTCCGGAAAAGCTATTAGACTCTGGGGCAAGAGAGCCTAGATCTCCGTCTAAAAGCCTAGTGAGATTGAGAACCCTGGTTAATGAATTTAAGTCACTTGTTAAAGCCAGCACCAAGTCATTTGTTAAAGGTAGCACTAAGTCATTTGTTAAAGGCAGCACTAAGTCATTGTTAAAGGCAGCACTAAGTCATTTGTTAAAGGCAGCACTAAGTCATTTGTTAAAGGCAGCACTAAGTCATTTGTTAAAGGCAGCACTAAGTCATTTGTTAAAGGCAGCACTAAGTCATTTGTTAAAGGCAGCACTAAGTCATTGTTAAAGGCAGCATTAAGTCATTGTTAAAGCCAGCACTAAGTCATTTGTTAAAGGCAGCACTAAGTCATTTGTTAAAGGCAGCACTAAGTCATTTGTTAAAGGCAGCACTAAGTCATTGTTAAAGGCAGCACTAAGTCATTTGTTATAGGCAGCACTAAGTCATTGTTAAAGGCAGCACTAAGGCATTTGTTAAAGGCAGCATTAAGTCATTGTTAAAGGCAGCATTAAGTCATTGTTTAAGGCAGCACTAAGTCATTTGTTAAAGGCAACACTAAGTCATTGTTAAAGGCAGCACTAAGTCATTGTTAAAGGCAGCAAGCACTAAGTCATTGTTTAAGGCAGCACTAAGTCATTTGTTAAAGGTAGCACTAAGTCATTGTTAAAGGTAGCACTAAGTCATTGTTAAAGGCAGCACTAAGTCATTTGTTAAAGGCAGCACCAAGTCATTGTTAAAGGCAGCACTAAGTCATTTGTTAAAGGCAGCACTAAGTCATTTGTTAAAGGCAGCACTAAGTCATTTGTTAAAGGCAGCACTAAGTCATTGTTAAAGGCAGCACTAAGTCATTTGTTATAGGCAGCACTAAGTCATTGTTAAAGGCAGCACTAAGGCATTGTTAAAGGCAGCACCAAGTCATTGTTAAAGGCAGCACTAAGTCATTTGTTAAAGGCAGCACTAAGTCATTTGTTAAAGGCAGCATTAAGTCATTGTTAAAGGCAGCATTAAGTCATTGTTAAAGGCAGCACTAAGTCATTTGTTAAAGGCAACACTAAGTCATTGTTAAAGGCAGCACTAAGTCATTGTTAAAGGCAGCAAGCACTAAGTCATTTGTTAAAGGCAGCACCAAGTCATTTGTTAAAGGCAGCATTAAGTCATTTGTTAAAGGCAGCACTAAGTCATTTGTTAAAGGCAGCACTAAGTCATTTGTTAAAGGCAGCACCAAGTCATTTGTTAAAGGCAGCACTAAGTCATTTGTTAAAGGCAGCACCAAGTCATTTGTTAAAGGCAGCATTAAGTCATTTGTTAAAGGCAGCACTAAGTCATTTGTTAAAGGCAGCACTAAGTCATTTGTTAAAGGCAGCACCAAGTCATTTGTTAAAGGCAGCACTAAGTCATTTGTTAAAGGCAGCACCAAGTCATTTGTTAAAGGCAGCATTAAGTCATTTGTTAAAGGCAGCACCAAGTCATTTGTTAAAGGCAGCATTAAGTCATTTGTTAAAGGCAGCACTAAGTCATTTGTTAAAGGCAGCATTAAGTCATTTGTTAAAGGCAGCACTAAGTCATTTGTTAAAGGCAGCACTAAGTCATTGTTTAAGGCAGCACTAAGTCATTTGTTAAAGGTAGCACTAAGTCATTGTTAAAGGTAGCACTAAGTCATTGTTAAAGGCAGCACTAAGTCATTTGTTAAAGGCAGCACTAAGTCATTTGTTAAAGGCAGCACTAAGTCATTTGTTAAAGGCAGCACTAAGTCATTTGTTAAAGGCAGCACTAAGTCATTTGTTAAAGGCAGCACTAAGTCATTTGTTAAAGGCAGCACCAAGTCATTTGTTAAAGGCAGCACTAAGTCATCAAATAATTCAAGGCAACATAAAGTCAAACATTAACTTAGCTAACATTTCGTCAAATGTTAAAGGCAGTGCCTGAATGCTTGATCATAAAATTTAAAACATAATTGTCCTATCTAAAATATGAACAGTCTGTATAATGCTAAGTGATGTTATAAAAGTATGGGGCCCTGGGCTCTTGTGCGACGATTTATTGATTTGAACTTACACTGTTGCTAGGAGAACATATTCAGTTCAATATTTATGACAATCTTGTTAAACCGCAGGTTCCGATTTTTTCGTATATTCGGGTAACAGTAAGGGGAATTTAAGTAAAATATCAATTTCAGGAAATACTTTTTACACATTTCAAGTTTCATCTCCGACATCTACCCCAAAACATGATTATTTATTTTGATTATTTGTTCATTTTTATGATGTTTAGTTTATTTGAATATTAGAAAGGAGTGTTGTCATAGCAGTCCACATGTACATAACTTTCAAATAGAAGTAGTTTAAGACAAATAACAACATAAGTCAGTTAACATTTTTTGTGTAAAATCCACATGTACCAAATCTTACCCACAGGTTTATTGCTCGTCTAATTTGACAATCCATATCAAAGTGAACGTTTCAGTTTCCGCTGCACTCTATGTACTCGTTAACTTGCAATAAAACCTCTAGACTACTCTGTACTCAGTTTAAGTCATTATTTTATCAAAAATATCCGTGAGAGTGAATACAAAGTTTGTGATTTTAGAATTCTGGAAACCCATTTACACAATACTATGTCAAGTATGTCTGTTTCCCTTTCTATACCCTACACAGGCCCGTAGCCAGGGGGGGTGGTTGAAGGGGTCGAGTGAACCCCCCCCCCTCTTGGCCAAAAAATCTATCAAAATCATGCAGTTTTCACCATTCTGAGCACTTTTAAAGTGATTTTGGACATTTTTGGACCAAAATTGTCACAAGTGAACCCCCCTTGGCAAATCCTGTCCTGTCCTGAATACACAATAAATCCTTTTACTTTTGCAAAGGCATCATTTGAGAATGTAGCTTTCTATTAGTTCCTTTCTAAAAATATTTCTAACTGGAAAAAGGAAGATGTGATAAGTGTCAGAATTTTATGAGGGAGACCCCTGTTTATACCTTAGCTAGTAAAACCCACAAAAGTATAAGGCATCATAATCTGTGTACCTCATATTTTGGAAGCTTGTTTCTTTTACAATTATATATATGTTGACCTACCCACTACTCATTTCCTCAAACGTATTTTCAAATGCAGAGGGAGCAGCACAGGGCCTTCATGTATAACTGCTTCTAAAATATTGGCCTTGTGTTGAACAACTGCGTCTATATCATGTACCTGGCTGGGTCTAGGGATTAGTTACCTAGTAAATGCAGACATCAATAATAACTTTCTTTCGATTACTTTGTGATGGATAAAATATGGAAAGTGTGACATTTTATGTACTTAAAATAATGTAAATGTTTTTCCAGTCAACATAATTTGTTTGATATGGAAAAGGAAATGGATCTGGGAATATGTTTAAAGATGGAGAAATATACATGTACATTTAAATGGTCTTTCTCCTGTCTTGTTAATATTTTTACAAATAGGATGTGAAACTTCCCTCAATATTGGTCAAAAGAGCATGAAATCTAGTTACAGGCATTTTGATACTATAACATCACTCTCTCCTGTCTTCAACAAACAGGCAATCTCAAGGGAGCTTCCTAAGGGGTATGTGAAAAGGTGACCTGGCCTCTGTAAATGTGACCAGAAACAATTATGAGCATCAGTCTGACTGGCAAGTCAATAAATAGCAGTAAAAGTGGTGAAAATATGACAAAATAGACTGGATGTAACTAAAAATTGAATGACAGATATATACAACAGACAATGTATTTCTATATTGTTAAACCAGTATATTCCTTAGTCATATCTTGATGGATCAAGATGAAATATTTCACTAAATTGGAATGAACCCTACAAAATATGATAAGGAAATATGACTGAAGTGACAATTTTTGAATTTTATAATTGACTCCCCCCCCCCCCCTTACCCTTGGGGAGCCATTTCTACACTGAGAAGACGAACTGTGAACCATCACACTGACATCACAGCTTTCTATCAGTTTTCTTTCTTGAAATAGAACATATAATGGGCTGATAGGATGTCTGTTTCATTCTGGGTACATCCCTCTTCTGAGATCACTTCTCTTACAAACATAACTACAAATATGATATATTTTTGATATGTGACATAAAAAAATTTTGTTTTGCATCTTTAAATGTGGTAATAAAAGTTATGCATTTGTGAACTATTTTGAATCATTTGGCATTTAGATATTTTAGTCTTTAATGTTGTTAAACTTCAAAGAATCCAAACCTTTCAAGCTACTGTCTCACTAATGCATATTTTATAACCTCTTCAGTATTCATAAAAGCAGCTTCAATGCCATGTTGACAATAGGATTTAATAGCTTTGTAATATTAACCTCATTAGAATGATAATGATGGGGATAAACATGACAAATATCATGTACACGATTTTGCACAATGCTTCAAATGTTAAAACATTTTAATGTCTACCCTTCCTGAGAAAATTACTTCATTTTCACTCTTTAAATATACAAAAAGCCTATATCCAATCAGAATATTTAATCAGAAAATCGGGGCACTATATTTTCTATGTATAACTTCCTTGTAGAACATGAAAGCTAAATATGAGATCATGAGTATTTTATATATCAGCTATTTAGCTTTATGTCACCATTTAATTAGAAGTGGTGAGATATTGTTAAAGTCTCTAAGCTTTGTGGATGGTGTTTGGCTGTTGGTGTTTGTTGGTTGCCTTTGGTAGCTGTAACAAATGGCAGGTGGTGACAAAATGCCTTATATTCAATAAAGTAATTGACACAAAATGATCATCCATTAAAGTCAGAGTTAGTGTTGCAATCCAAGATTTAGGATACTCAATATAAATAGAGCAGTATGAAAATTCACATGAATATAGATGGCATACCATTACTGTGAATATCATGTACCAAAATCCAATGGTATTCAGCTGCAACTACAGTCTAAAGTTTTTCATTAAGACTCTTTATCCCCCATTTCTCTTAATAGAGATATAATATTGGGGAAAGTTAAAATCTTATTTTATAATATTATTCAGTCGATGTATGTCAGACATAAAGTGCTTGTCCCTCCTCTAAATCAGAGTTTAGTCTTCATTTAGACCTGTGTTGCCCTTGCACTCAAAATTTACTGGGTTAATAACTATTTGGGGTCGGGATGGAGAGTTGGAATTGGAGGCTTGACTATTTGATGTCTTGTTCTCATTTACAGCCCCTTGTTATATCATTACCTCTTACTTTCATTTCCAGTTTGTCATCTCGGCAAATGGGGTTGGTTCCTCAGGCGAAGATAGCGATGGTCAGATAGGGGGGTCTACCCATCCATCCCCCATGCCCGGGGGTAGCTCGCAACCCTACAAATCACCCTCTACTCTTCCTGCCAGTGTGAGGACTGAAACGTCAAAGAACAAGTCCAAACAGACTATTCCTTGCAAGGTTGGTATCCGATTTTGTATTAATAAAACACACCCTTTGAGAATCTTATATGAAGTATTGTCAAATCCAAATTGTGATCTAAAATGATGAGATGACAAAAATAAAAAGCATTAGCTCAAGAATTTTGAATCTGACTTGTTAGCAATCACTGGTCCATATACTCAAACATCATTAACTGCAACACAGAGGGACTGGGACAGATGTCAAAGTGCCATATTTTGTGAAACTTCATTAGGTGGAGGATGGGGGGAAATACATAGTAGGAAAAATCTTCAAAGTTGGATCAGATTTAGCTATAAAAGGGATGTTATCAGAACTCTTATTAAAATAGCAAAAAGTATTCTGACCCAGTCCTAAAGAACGTGAAATAAAATCATTAATTAACAACATCTTTGAGCAAATCATTTATTAATTTATCACTAGAAGTAAAATAATTTAGAACGAAGCAAAGTTTATACTACTTTAGTTATCTGCTTGTTGCTTTGGTAACCAATCATCATTATTTTGCTCGCCAGGATACAGATAGCGATATCGCTAGTGATATGATTTCCTCACCAGAGGTCTCTTTAGGCTGGAGTGATTTTTATAATAAAATGACACGTTATGTGGTATGTCTCAAATTGTGTTATCTGGCAGTTGGGAGGAATATTACAATCCAAAGTCAAACACTGAATTAGTGAATACTAAAATGCAACTAACATTTCAATTTGAATTCAGAAAATAAAATTATCAGCTTTATATTTTTTGAATTAAATGTTTATCACTTTTTATATTGAATTTGTATTCATGATCATATTTGCATTTGGATTGATTCTGGTTTCAAGCAATCAGCTTTTTGTAGTAAAGTTTTACAAAGCATGGTTAAAGTTTATTGGCGTTACACTATTGTCCCCATTTCCATGTTTAAACCCGGTATATACTATCCATTTTAGCACTTGTAAACATTTGGCACTACATTTCCCCATCAATCTCCTACACTTTTCACCTGGAAAAGTTTTATAATTGTTATTAGGTATTCGGGTTCTATTTTGTAATATGGTGATTGAAAACATTTTATATAATGTTGTATACATTTTCGGTATTTTGGATGACATGCTTTTTATACACTGATTTCTATGGTTCTAGGTGTTCATAGTAATAGTAAATGTAGTTGGTTGAAGAATACATCCAGATCTTTATCTGTTTGTAAAAATACTTGTAATGCTCGCAGTTTCACAAACATTTGGTTTTTATATGTATATATGAAGTATACTGTACATACATTTGTCAGAAGAAGTTCATAGAGATGTTGAGAAAGAGCCCCTCCTCCCAGTATTTTGCAAGTTGAAATGATAGATTTTGCACATGAAATCAGCGAATTCTGCAAAGGACAGTCAATTTGGCACGAATACCACAGGTTTCACTTTCTTTTAGGGAAAATTGAAACTGAATTTGAGTAAACTGAATTGAGGTTAATAAATTGTGATTGGTTCATACAGTCATTGATGCCTAGTGCCATCTAGTGAGAAAAAGCAGCACAACAAATTTGATTTATGGTAATTTGCATTTTTGGCTATTTCTGAAATCGGTGATCTCTACCCAAAATTTCAGAAAGTATAAATTAGCAAGCTAAGGCAGAAAATATGTCAATTCTGTATAAAATTCCAAGGGAATTGATCAAAATTCAAGATCTTCAATTACATGCCTGAAGGCCATTTTTATCCACTTTCTGTGTAAAGGGAATTCCTAAAGCAGTGATTAACTGTATCATGTAGTAATATCTATAAATATAAGTCAATCTACCACTCATCAATATTATTAATTCTCTTAAAGATTCATGGTTTTTGCATGTATATAGCATGATTGTTGAAGTCAAGGAATTATGTTTTGGACACATACAATATAGTTTACATTTTTAGTAAAAAATTGTCACTTTTTTGCTCTTACTACATGTGTACATTGTCAACTATTTTTCATTATACAGTTTAAGAGTTTTTATGTCTATCATTTAATATGTAGTTTGTAGTGTGAATATACTAATTTTGCAGATTTTGGAAATACTAATCTTTGCTGCATCTTAACTAATTTTATAACCCCTACTAATTTTGCAAAGAAATTAAAAGTGAATATCTATATAGTATTGTATTGTACAAGAGAAAGCCATGAATTCTTTTCTCATAGTTGCCAAATGTCAAAAGAGAATGAGAATAATTACTCAAGAATATTGCTTTCTTCATAAACTGTGGCTAGATAAGCATTTTTGGCTTTCTTCATATATGTAGTTAGAATTCAGTCTACTGCACTTAATCAAGAAATGCTCTTCATTTTACATGGGCCAATTACATTTCTGTGGAGTAGACTAACCTGTATGATTGTACTTTGTAGTTATCACAATTAATATAGTATTTCCATCCATATGTAGTCTCACACTGTAGTTTGTATTTTAGACACAACCCGCCGAGCACATATCCACACCTGGATCAATAATAACAGAAGTGCCACCTATTGGTGCCGAAACGACACTGCCATACTCCGAGTCCTTTACGGAAATATTTGGAGCTCCTCTTCAGAAAGAGGCAATCATTAAACCATATAGAAAGTCCGATGTTTCAAAACCATTTACTGAAATACCAAAACCTAGATCAAGTGACTCTAAAAAACCAACTGAGCATTCCGGGCACGAACGGAAAAAATCAAATAGTGACAATGATAAACGTTCAATCAATGGGGATAAAAAATCGAATAATGACATTAAGAAGTCAAGCCATGGTAGTCAAAGTAAAGGGTCTAGTCATAACAAATCATTAAGTCATATTAGTCATAAATCTGCTGATAAAGAAAGACATTCATCTAGTGGAAAGGATGGCAACAAAATTTCAAATGAAAGAAAATCTGCTGAAAGGGATAGAAAACACAGTGAAAGTAAAGATAAAAAGATGGGTCATTCTTTATTGAAGGTGAGCTGTATAGTTAATGCACTAATTAATATTAACATGGTGGTGGGTTTATAAGTTGTTTACATGTTAAACTGTGTGTTTGTTCTTTGGTTTTGTTCTTGGAATGGGAGCCACTATCAGTAATGAAATAATTAAGTTCTCAGCTTAGGTTTTTTATACACAGCAAAAATTGTGTACAACAGTGTTTTCGAAAAAACAGAGCAAATTTCAGTCATTATAACCTGAATTATGTGAATAATATCCCGGTTGAGATATTTACTATAGCTAGTACACTAACCATTGTGGGAGTACACAAAACATAATCACTGTCTCCATGGTCTGTAAAGTAGAAATTGATGTAATGGTTCTATAAGCCATGAAACTTTGTAAAAAGGAAGTTTTTGTAAGAGTTTTGCGCTTAGCAGTCAGAGAAAAATTAGTGCGCAACCTTTTTTGAATACAGTGAAATTTTGACTGATGTGATTGGCCCATATGATATAAATATATCCTGTATTTTCACGCTGTTAGATATAGAATCTGCATAACCCTCTGACATCACCATATTACACACTTTGACATTTGAAATATCACTTTCTGTTCAGATCAATTAGAACACCATATGACAAAAATATTATTGAATAAAAATTCTATTCAATGAATTCTCTTGAAGTACAGATGATATTGTGCCCTGATAAGATATACATGTATATAGAATTTCTAAGGCACAATACTTTATATCGTTTGAATCCTTGATTCCAACCCATATTTTTTCTATTGTTATCCTCACACTTTAACACAAGCTTTTAGGCAGTAGGTATGGAGACTTTATGCAACACTCTATTTCATATTGCTTTTCAAGAAGTGAAATTAAAATTCATATTTGATCAAAACTGAGTAAGACACTGTTTTATCCATGTAAGTCAAATACTATTGAATTGTGAATTTGTGACGTTGCCATGACATGTCTCGAATCCTGAACTATGCAACCAATCTTGCTCCATCTCTTGTTCAGTGCTACATATTAGATATATATATGTATGTGCAATCTGGTGTATATCTGATGCTTATTTATTTGAAAGAAGATGTGTCTGAAGCTTGTACTTTTATCCACGTGAATGCTTAGATATTTCTGTGTTTTGAATGAAAGCAAACTCCTGTTGTAGCACAACACGCATGCTGCACTATGTGCATGCTTGCTTTGTTATGAATTGTACCTATTCCATGCATTATATATTATTTACTTATTTAATTACATGCAATATTACACACTTAGGGAGGAGAGTAACATCGCAGTATCACTCTTGTCATTTATATGATGAAAATTAATTAAGCACTTTTTTCCTGAAAATGTAGATTGTATTTATTCTAGAAAGTATATTTTTGCTGATAGGTCTTTGATATTTCGATGCAACTCCTTACTCCAACAACTAAGTGTTCTTATGTTTATTTACATGTTTTACATAATTTTTAGTTTCATTATTTTACTTGATGATATAATTTTGAAAATAAGAAATGGATCATAAGCTTTTTTGTTAAGAATTTACAGCAATTTACATGAATGTATCTTATATTGTAGTTAACTGATAGATATATTTATCTTGTAATCTAGTCTCCACAGGAATTATAATGGGGTCAGTGAACTCTCCAGCATTGAGGCAACTGGGCATTGAGACATTGGATGGATAATCCATTTACATCCAGTTCTTTTGATACTTCATTTGCCCAGTTAAAATACATTTATTTTCCACCGAGAAAACTATCCCAATCTATTTCCTAGTGACTGAGGCTATTTCCAAGCATCCATTCTGTTTCATAGCACCCAGCCTATTACCTTGTACCCAGTCTATTACCTTGTGCCCATCTAACCTTGTACCCAGTCTATTACACCTTGTACCCAATCTATTACACCTTGTACCCAGTCTATTACACCTTGTACCCAATCTATTACACCTTGTACCCAATCTATTACACCTTGTACCCAATCTATTACACCTTGTACCCAATCTATTACACCTTGTACCCAATCTATTACACCTTGTGGCTTGTACCCAATCTATTACACCTTGTACCCAATCTATTACACCTTGTACACAGTCTTTTACACCTTGTACCCAGTCTACTACACCTTGCACCTAGTCTGTTACCTTGCAGCTAGTCTGTTACCTTGCTCCCAATTTATTCCCAGTCTATAATTACCTGTAGCCCCCATTCTTAATCCTACACTCAGTCTATTACTTAGCACTTTAGCTCATTGCTTAGCAACCAGTGATTACCTCTCACCCAGTTTATTGCTTAGCAACTAGCCTGTTATCTTATATCAGTCTATTTCATAGCACCAAGTCTATTATCTAGTACCAGTCTATTTCCTTGCACACATTCTATTACCTAGCAACCATTCCATTCCATAGCTCCCACTCCCAGTCTATTACATTGTACCCGGGCATTGTACCTAGTCTATAACCTTGTAACCTTCTATTCCATAGCTACACAGGCAATATAATTCGACGCCGTTTCGGCATCGAAAAAATTTGGCACTGTTCCGGCACCGTTCCGACACCGTTCCGGCACCGAAATCTTTCGACACCAAAATTTGCTACAGGACTAGTCAGTCCATTTGGAACCGAAACGGCGTCGAAAATCATTATGCATTTTGGTGGTGTACTAGTCTATTACCTAGCATCTGTCTATTTCCTATCACCCTGTCTGTTACTTAGAACCATACCAACGTGTGCCCACCCTATTTAGAAGCAACCAGTCTATTTCCATACAGTCAAAAATCATATAGCATCGAATATTATATATTTATATTCTTTCAGGATAACACTAATTTTTGACCCAGTTGAAACAGAACTCTAAGGGAGAGCACTCTGTGTTGCTTTCTATGACCTTGTACTTAATCATATCTCTATGTTCTTGCAGGCTGACAAGAAATCCAAGTCAAGTAGCAAAGGAGACCATAAGAAAGAAAAGCCCATGAAGATTAAACCCATCGAACCAAAGGAAGAATTCAAAGGAAGTCAACCTAAGCTTGAGGCTAAAGAGGCTAAGCCAGACTTCAAAGACACTAAATCTGATATGAAGGTTAAAGACTCGAAGGGAGAGTCAAAACACCACAGTAAAGATTCAAAATCTGAGCATAAACATTTGTCTTCATCGGGGTCGTCAACTTCATCAAGGGATCTAAAACAGGAGTCCAAGCATCACTCTCCAAAATCTCAGAAATCTGACTCAAAGCATTCCTCTAAGGAATCAAAACATCAGTCGAAGGAATCTAATTCTGAATCTAAGCACCATTCACCTAAAACCCACCAGAAACATGATGGCAAGGGATCTTCAAAGGAATCCTCAAGAGATTCAAAATCAGAAACTAAGTACCAGTCCATAAGGGACTCTAAATCTGAATCCTCTAAAGACTCCAAGCACTCATCAAAGGACAGTAAATCAGAGTCTAAACACTCCTCTAAAGATTCAAAACATGAGGCGAAACACCAATCAAAGGTGTCTAAGTCTGAATATAAGGAATCGAAAGATTCTAGGGACAAAAGTTCAAAGCCTAAAGAGTCTAAACATGATATGAAGGAATCCAAAAGTGTCAAATCATCATCGGAACATAAAGAAAAGTCAAGGTCAGAAAAATCATATAAAGAAGCGAAGATAAGCCCAAAGGATGAGTCTAAAAAGTCTAAAGATGAATCACATAAGAAGCAAAAGGAGGAGGTTAAGAAGACAAAAGAAGAGTCGAAAAAGTCAGAGCCAAAAATAAAGGATAGTAAGTCTATTATTAAAGAGGGGAAACTTAAGGATTCTAAATTGTCTCTTACATCATATCTCAAAGAAACGTCATCTTCCACATCATCGTCAAAGAATAAATATAAATCTGAAACAAAGACTGAGGAGACTGACTCCATATCATCGCAACCATACGTGTCAAAATCATCCAAGAAACATAAAACTGATGTAAAAATGGAAGACTCTGACTCCATGTCACCACAGTTGTATGGCACAAACTCATCGAAAAAATATAAAAGCGAAGTAAAAATTGAAGACTCAGATTCTATGTCACCACAATTATATGGTTCGAAATCATCAAAGAAGTACAAATCGGAAGTAAAAGCTGAGGACTCTGACTCTAATTTATCAGCTCAATTATATGAGTCTAAACCATCGAAACGATCCGCTGATGAGCCCTTGATATCAACTGAAATTAAAAAAGCAAGAAGGGAAGACACTGAGATTAAAATTGATAAACAAAGTGATAAGTCCCATAAGCATAAAGAGAAAAGTTCATCTCGATCATCCCAAGATAAAGATCGTATAAAATCAGAACCCAGAGACAACAAATCTGACTCCAAGCATACTAAACATGAATCAAAATCTGATTCTAAAAAAGACTCAAAATCGGAAAGCTCAAAGTCCAAAAAATCATCTACACCAAGATCATCTAGAGAGGAAAAGGAAAAAGACAAAAAACATTCCTCTGAAAAATTTGAAAAGGATACTAAATCAAGCATTAAAAAAGAAAAAAAGGATTCATCTAGCAGTAAGAGGGTAAAGGTAAGAGAACCTTCACCTGAGATAGTAAAACCAGACCCAGTAGAAGTTAAGTCTGAAGTGAAACCCAGGAAGCCACTTCCTGCATTTGAGGATGAGTTGAGTACAGGCGAGACATCGGATATTGACTTTGATAGCCACCCAGCCGAGGCACTCTCCCCCCTTCCCGATGATCTCCCACCCCCAAGAGTAGAACGTGAGATAAGAGAGAATCCCCCTAAGCACATAAATGTCACAGATGATCATGACGAGTCTAGTCAGCCATCAAGTGAGTCATCTAGTCGAGCTACTAGTCCCGCAGGAGGGTCAACTACCAGTGGCTGGAGGGGAGGAGGCTCAGGTGCAAGTGCACTCAGCACTCTAATACGCGAGATGGAGAGTGACGGAGATGAGGAAGATGAAAATGAAGATGAGATTATATCAGTGCGCTCGTCAAATATGTCACCTCCTCATCTGTTACCCCCTCAATTAACTGACTCAAAATTAGATCAACGTGAATATCCCCCAAAACCGAAATCACCATCGTACGGAAGTACACCAACAATTAAAGCATCGAAACCTAAGCGGCCATCATCGCCAACATTATCTCTATCGTCATCAAATGCATCATCACGATTGAGTAAAAAATCCAGAAAATCAACGTCAAAAATTGTTTCTAAAGAGATCTGTGAGGATGATGACAGTCAAAGTGAAATTGAAAATGACAATGTTCCAAAAACAAATGGTGCTCAATATGAAAACACCAGGCCTCCACTAGACGATGAGCTGATCGAGCTTCTAGACCTTCAAAAGAAATTAATGATGATTCATGACAATTCAATACTTCAACAAATTGTAGATGTTATAGAAGAATCTGGAAAGTATGCTATCAGTGATGCTACATTTGACTTTGATCTATGTAAATTAGATCAGATAACAGTTAAAAAACTGAAGCATACGATAAATAATGGACAAAGTGTCTCAATGTCACATATGACGAGTGTTATGTAATGTAATTGATACAGCCTTATGTTAACCCCCAAGGAAACATGGCTAGTTATAGATAAGGGTCAATATATTGATAAACACCTAATATACTTTATTACCTTTGGGTCTTTGGGGTGTGTGCAAAATCAATTACATTTTATTGGCATGCAATATTTTAAATGTGAAAAATCAATGAGTGTTTAATAATGTTTTGGTGGTAAAGAGGGTCAAATTTAAAATTAGCGGGTGTCCCAAAGAATGTACCTAAATAAAAAGGGAATAACTTTTCCCTCAGAAACCTTACTGGTTTTACTGGTTAAAGATATTTCATTTCTTTAAATTCACAGAAATTTGTAAATTAGTACTGAGAATTTTGACATTTTAGATGGCATACCCAAAGTGACATCTATCAGAGATTAATACAACTCTAAACATAGATGGGTGAGAGTGCTAAGCTTTTCTCTTAAACTAAAGAGTTTCCTGATGAATTATATAATATATGATAATGGAATTGTGTATCAGATGACCATCTCAAGAATATTCCTTCATCACTCGCAGAGTTATTCTTTGTCTGTTGTTTGTCCAATTTCTATTTGAACACAGAGTTATTTAATGTTTTGTCTCGGGTACACTTTTTGGGACACCCTGTATGATTTGAAATAAAATCTAAGTACTGATCCTTTAGGATTGCCATGTAGAGATGTATGAAATCTCCATTAATGAGCCTCTGCATTAGAAATATAACAGATGTGACAGCATTTAAGTAATGCATTTGTAAGTTAAAAGCTTTTATTTTTTCAGAACCTCAGTTTATGTGGCTTGTTATTTTGTGACATGTATTTCAAATGTTAAGTGTTCGCAGTTGGTGCATTTTTTGTATGGTTCCATTCAACTTGATTTTTTACATTATAGTACGAATAATGTCTTCACTGTTCACAATAATGTGTGTTCTTCATTATAGTCATGTGACATCCACATTCTCATTAAAAGTTCATGTACAGTTTATTATTTATCATTTTGAAATATCTTGATTGTTCAGATGATGTAAGGTGAACTATAAAGAGGAGGGAATACCCCAGGGTTCAGGGAAATTAATCTATAAATGGAAAGTTAATATAGATATGATCCATCGTCTCTGATTGGTCTATTGACAGGGAGTGACATAAACAAATTTTCTAAATAAACAAATATTTTTTGAACAATTCAAATAATATTTTGTTAATTTCCGGTTTGTTTACCAATATTGTATAACTTATTATTTCACGTCAAAATGAAGAAAGATGCAAGAAATATGTTTACATTGATCAAAACATCACATCGAGGTGTGGTATTCTGAAACTAGATGGTGGAAATTCAGACAAACAAAGGTGGTAAACAAGAGTGGTAATTATTAGTCATCTCTAAGCTCTGGGGTTTTCCCTCCTCTTATAAACGTAACGCTTACGTTATAAATCCTGGTGTTTTACTGAATATATCTGCATCGTTTATTTGCATGTTTGAGTAGAAAAACTATTATTAAGTTATTTTTTGGTAACATGTGCTTGTGCAATGTGGAAGCTTTTCATACTATGTGCTTTTGAATGTAAGATGTTAAACCAGATGTTCTATTACTCATTTAAGGTGGCAATGATGACTAGAGTGTAAAATATTGGAAGCAGTCTTTAAAAAACCAAACCAATATTTCCCTTGGCAGGTGGTGAGATTTTGCACGTTATTGTCTTTTTATCACACCATCGGTGGGATATAGTCGTCATGATGACAACGTTATCTTGGACATGGTCATGATCGTCCCGCTTTTTGTCATTGCAATATCAGGTAAATTTCTCATTGGATTTTCTCCAAATTCCCACACATGATAGAGGATATCAGGTTTTAGAGCTGATTAAATTTTGGGCAGCAGTCTTGTTTTCTGGTGGCCATTTTGAAGGTTTTTCCATAAATCTTGTCATCGCGGTTTCTGGAAAACCGCTCATTGGATTTTCTCTAAATTTGCATAGAGGATATCAAGTTCTAGAGCAGATTAACTTTTGGGTGGCCATCTTGTTTTCTGGTGGCCATTTTGAAGGTTTTTCGATGGTGTGATCTCGTTCATATCATGTGCCTTGATCATCATTGGGACTTTACTTCGCCTTGAAGAAAACATTAATTTGATAAGAGATGTTGTATTCATTGAAAGAAAGTACTCCTGGTCAAAGATTTGGCTGTTAAATCATTCGCCATATCCCTGGTCCTTTTATTATTAGAATCAAAAGGGGATGTTTTTGCCAGACAACCCTAAAATTCAAAGGATTGTTTGGAAATAAAATCAGAAATGTTGAACCTTTTAAGGCATTAAGATGCAAAATGTCACTACCTGCCATTTGTTTCAGATGCCAAATGCCAACTTCTGAACTCAATAACACCATCCACAAAAAAGTTTGTGACTATAACATAACAATATGTCACCCCTTGTGGTGACATAAAAATCCGAAAAATCAGACTTTTTGGAAATTTCAACTTGTCTTTAGTCATTGTTGCACCTTTATTTATAAGAATTTGGCACAATGTCATAATATATATTGTAATAGGAACTACTTTACTAGGAATAGGAACTACTTTATACTGCTTCTGTATCAGTTGCAATATGGCAGCTATAGTTTGAAGTGCCATTATAATTGCCTTCAAGCATTTTACTCATGAAGTAAACATGTACAACTGTAACCAGGCTACTTTGGTGCTGTTTCATTTGGTGAATTTGCCATTTTAGACTTTGATTTGATGCATTGTGTCATCTGTCTTAACATTTACTGCCCAAATACAGCCTTTCTTCATGATCTTTCATTTGTTATTTCACTCTCTAGACTATGACTTCAGTATGAAGACATGTTTTGTTAAAGTGCTTTGAGATCACAATATTTAATGCATGAAAAATCTGAATGTAAATTACATTGTACAAAAATATTTTTTTAATGAGAATTTTATTGACAATGCTCTCAATTGTTGATTGATGAGAAAAATTCTAAATCACCAATTGGAACACAGTCAAATGGAAACTAGTTACACTTTCTCCAGAACACTACATTTTCATTTCAACTTGTTATTAATTTATTTTGCCATTCTTTTATTCATCACATGAGGAAAACGTGTTTTGAGTTTATATAAGCTATACTTACATACATAAAGATGTACATGTATTATAAAAAAGAAAATAGAGTATATTTAATAGTGAATTCTATATAATTTTTAGTGAATTTTTACCCAATTTGATTGAGAAAAATCATGCACAATTTTGGCATAACTAGGGTTAAGTCATACAGCTCAGCGAAAGTACAAATGAGTAATTTAATTATAATGATGGTTTAATAAAAATTGTGCATGCTAATCAATTCAAATTGTCTGTGTTTCATCACCCTATTTACATGACAGTCAAAGTGAAATTGAAAATGACAATGTTCCAAAAACAAATGGTGCTCAATATGAAAACACCAGGCCACCACTAGACGATGAGCTGATTGAGCTTCTAGACCTTCAAAAGAAATAAATGATGATTCATGATAACTCAATACTACAACAAATTGTAGATGTTATAGAAGAATCTGGAAAGTATGCTATCAGTGATGCTACATTTGACTTTGATCTATGTAAATTAGATCAGATAACAGTTAAAAAACTGAAGCATACGATAAATAATGGACAAAGTGTCTAAATGTCCCATATGACAAGTGTTATGTAATGTAATTGGTACAGCCATATGTTACCCCCAAGGAAACATGGCTGGTTACAGATAAGGGTCAATACATTGATAAACACCTAATATACTTTATTACCTTTGGGTCTTTGGGGTGTGTGCAAAATCAATTACATTTTATTGGCATGCAATATTTTAAAGAAAGCAACTTATGTGAAAAATCAATGAGTGTTTAATAATGTTTTGTTGGTGAAGAGGGTCAAACTTAAAATTAGCGGGTGTCCCAAAAAATGTACCCAAATAAAAAGGGAATAACTTTTTCCTCAGAAAAAAGCTGAACCTTTTACCGGTTAAAGTTAATTCTTTTTTTAAATTAGCAGTTGAAATTCACAGAAATTTGTAAATTAGTACTGAGAATTTTGACATCTTAGATGACATACCCTAAGTGACATCTTTCAGAGCTGAATACAAATCTAAACATTGATGGGTGAGAGTGCTAAGCTTTTCTCTAAAACTAAAGAGTTACCTGATGAATTAGATTATATATGATAACGGAATTGTCTGTCAGATGACCATCTCAAGAATATTCCTTCATCACTCTCAGATTTATTCTATATTTGTTATTTGTACAATTTTTATTTGAACACAGTTATTTAATGTTTTATCCCGGGTACACTTTTTGGGACACCCTGTATGATTTGAGATAAAATCTAAGTACGGATCCTTTAGGATTGCCATGTAGAGATGTATGGAGTCTCCATTAATGAACCTGAGCATTAGAAATATAACAGATGTGAGAGCATTTAAGTAATGCATTTGTAAGTTAAAAGCTTTTATTTTTTCAGAACCTCAGTTTATGTGGCTTGTTATTTTGTCACATGTATTTAAAATGTTAAGTGTTCGCAGTTGGTGCATTTTTTGTATGGTTCCATTCGACATGATTTTTTACATTATATTAATAATGTGTTCACTGTTCACAATAATGTGTATTCTTCATTATAGTCATGTTACATCCACATTCTCATTAAAACTTCATGTACAGTTTTATTATTTATCATTTTGAAATATCTTGATTGTTCAGATGATATTCAGATGATGTATTAGGCTTTATGGTAAGCCATTAGAGGAGGGAATACCCCAAGGTTCAGAGAAGACATATCTAAATAGAAAGTTGATTAAGAGATGACCCATCGTCCCCGATTGGTCAAATTGACAAGGAGTTACATAAACAGATTTTCTAATTCAAAATATTTTTTGAACACTTCTAATAATATTATGTTAATTTCTAGTTTGTTTACCAAACTTGTTATTTTCACGTCAAGATGGAGAAAGATGTAAGGAATATGTTTACATCGATCAAAGCATCACATCGAGGTGTGGTATTCTGAAACTAGATGGTGGAAATTCTGACAAACAAAGGTGGTAAACAAGAGTGGTAATTATTAGTCATGTCTAAGCTCTGGGGTTTCCCTCCTCTTATAAACGTAACGCTTACGTAATAAATCCTGGTGTTTTACTGGATATATCTGCATCATTTATTTGCATGTTTGAGTCGAAAAACTATTATTTTTTGGTAACATATGCTTGTGCAATGTGTAAGCTATATACTTTCTTTAATGTGCTTTTGAATGTTACATATTAAACCAGATGTTCTATTACTCATTTAAAGTGGCAATGACGACTAGAGAATGTAAAATATTGGAAGCAGTCTTTATCAAAGCAAACCAATATTTCCCTTGGCAGGTGGTGAGATTTTGCACGTTATTGTCTTGGTTTCTGGAAAAATGCTCATTGGATTTTATCCAAATTCGCATAGAGGATATCAAGTTCTAGAGCTGATTAACTTTTGGGTGGCCATCTTGTTTTCTTGTGGCCATTTTGAAGGTTTTTCGATAAATCTCGTCATTGACATTTCAGAAAAACTGCTCATCAGATTTTCTCCAAATTCACACACATGATAGAGGATATCAAGTTCTGATTAACTTTTGTGTGGCCATCTTATTTTCTGGTGGCCATTTTGAAGGTTTTTCTATAAATCTTGTCATCACGATTTAAGGAAAACCACTCATCGGAAACCACTTTTCATAAACACTGCTCATCTTCATCGGATTTTCTCCAAATTTGCACACATGATAGAGGATATCAAGTTCTAAAGCTGATTAACTTTTGGGTTGTCATCTTGTTTTCTGGCGGCCATTTTGAAGGTTTTTCGATGGTGTGATCTCGTTCATATCATGTGCCTTGATCATCATTGGGACTTTACTTCGCCTTGGACATTAATTTGATAAGAGATGTTGTATTCATTGAAAGAAAGTACTCCTGGTCAAAGATTTGGCTGTCAAATTATTCACCATATCCCTTGTCCTTTGTTGTCCTTTTATTATTAGAATCAAAAGGGGATGTTCTTGCCAGACAACCCTAAAATTCAAAGGATTGTTCTGAAATAAAATCAGAAATGTTGAACCTTTTTAAGGCATTAAGATGCAAAATGTCACTACCTGCCATTTGATTCAGATGCCAAATGCCAACTTCTGAACTCAATAACACCATCCACAAAAAAGTTGGTGACTGTAACATAACAATATGTCACCACTTGTGGTGACATAAAAATCATAACAACTTTTTCGAAATTTCAACTTGTCTTTAGTCATTGTTGCACCTTTATTTATAAGAACTTGGCACAATGTCATAATATATATTGTAATAGGAACTACTTTACTAGGAATAGGAACTACTTTATACTGCTTCTGTATCAGTTGCAATATGGCAGCTATAGTTTGAAGTGCCATTATAATTCCCTTCAAGCATTTTACTCCTGAAGTAAACATGTACAACTGTAACCAGGCTACTTTGGTGCTGTTTCATTTGGTGAATTTGCCATTTTAGACTTTGATTTGATGCATTGTGTCATCTGTCTTAAAATTTACTGCCCAAATACAGACTTTCTTCATGAATGATCTCTCATTTGTTGTATCAGTCTTTTAGACTATGACTTCAGTATTAGACATATTTTATAAGAGTACTTTGGAATCACAATATTTGATGCATGAAAAATATGAATGTAAATTACATTGTACAAAAATATTTTTTTAATGAGAATTTTATTGACAAGGCTCTCAATTGTTGATTGATGAGAAAAATTCTAAATCACCAATTGGAACATTGCCAAATGGAAACTAGTTACACTTCCAGAACACTACATTTTCATTTCAACTTGTTATTAATTTATTTTACCATTCTTTTATTCATCACATGAGGAAATGTGTTTTGAGTTTATATAAGCTACTTACATACATAAAGATGTACATGTATTATAAAAAAAGAAAATAGAGTATATTTAATAGTGAATTCTATATAATTTTTAGTGAATTTTTAGCCAATTTGATTGAGAAACATCATGCACAATTTTAGCATAACTAGGATTAAGTCATACAGTAGCTCACCGAAAGCACAAATGAGTAATTTAATTATAATGATGGTTTAATAAAAATTGTGCATGCTAATCGATTCAAATTGTCTGTGTTTCATTGCCCTGTTTACATGCCCAAATAATGCAATCAGACTTCTTAAGAGAAGACCCCCCCCCCTAAAAAGATTTGTGCTCTGGGGAAGTAAAAAATGAATTGGTATTAATGCTGTTTTTTACCCAAAATCTATGGTTTGCCTCTGATGGTTTACATTTTGTCCTTCACATATAAAGTGTAATAGGCCCAAGGCTCAGGAACATATATAATACCAGGGTACTTCTCTCTCAATATGGGGTCCTTCCAAAGCCAGGCCACCCAGCCAATCACAAGGCCCAGAGTCATTGAAAATGTAGCTATAAGGAATTGTCCATTTACATCCAATATACTTGTGGTTGACTGATAGGTGGCTCTGTATATCACCATAGCAACATATGTCAGCAGGAATACTTCAAATATCTGCCCCTCTGTTACTAAGTACCTGAAAGACCATGTGGAAGAAAAACACCTTTTATTGGCTCTAATAAAATTTCAGTAACAAAATTAACTATAAATGACCCAAAATTGACTATATATAATCTAAAATTGCACTCCTAAAAGCTTGTGTAAAATATCTTTAAAATTAAAATGAATATGGCCAGACAGACGGGCAAGTGATCGATTGCAGAAGCTCGCATGCTTAAAATCCAAAAGGCATACATCGTTTTTTCCAAAACTTACCAATAATAGAGGGCACTGATGTACACCAGAACCCATTGGGCTGCATTGAGTTTGGTATCTTGTGCAGACTTCTTGGGGACAAAACACCCCATGAAATACAGGAACAAGGCACCAAAGAAGGGAATATACCTGGAAATAAGATGGAAGAACGCTTGTTAAAGTCCAAATTTTGAAAAAATATTTCTTTTAATTAATGGTTTCACTTATTCAATTCCCCACCTATAGAGCCTTATGGATTGATGAATAATATTCCATTTTCACCAACAATTCTGGCAAAGTTGAACAAAATGCATGTACCATGGAGGCCAGTGAAATACTTGGATGGATCAATGTGTTCAAAACATCAACCAAATATTAAAATTTACTATCTGTCCCATCCTAATAGGTAACTTAGACGTTAATCTATTTTTTTTTTTTTATTCAAGTAATAATTTAATACAATTCAAGTACAAGCTTCATTAAATACAAGTAGTTCTTTCATATAGATATATGTACTATGTATATAAATCATTTTTAAATAGTAATAATAACTTAGACGTTAATCTATGGAGTTATTGATATAAAAATTATGTTAAACTCACCACATCAAATGTCCTAGGTGTTCATCATAGAAGTACAGAAGTTCAAAGGAATCTATCTAAAACAACAAAATCTGTATTTTGTCTTCTGGTTTTTAGAAAGCACTTCATTAGTTATATTAGGTAGTAAATTGTAACAATACACGAGGAATTTAATCCTTGCATTGGTCTTTCTAAAAGACATTTTTTTCACAATTTGTCACATTATCCATATTATTTGGTACAACCATCATAATCTGCAAGATTGAAACACTGGTACAACCAGTTTAATATCATACAATCCACAATTGAATGAACAATCGTCAAAATAACATCTTTATCGTGAGTATTTCTTCACAGTATTTGCTCCATTTGTTCATTATTATACATTTTCTCATTAAAGCACAAAATATTACCAGGGACCCCGGGAACAACCTAAGATTGCGTTTCGGAGAGATGCCCGACTTTAATATATTGTATATATGTTTAATTTGCAAATAAAAAATAAAAAAATACAATCCACAAAACCTGGCACAACCAACATGTAACACAATCAACAAAAGCTGGCACAACCATCACAATGTTGAGCAATATGAAATAATGCATCTGGCACAAACTCACATATTTTACAAAATCTGGAACAATCAACACATTGTGGAATAATCAATAAATCTAAAAAATCAAATCACTAATAAATTTGAGAATAAGTGATCAGTAAGAAGGTATTGAACCAAATACGACAATGACAATCTTGGATGTGATATACAGGGATAAACTGCAAGTTAACTTACCAGTGATTTGGGCTTTAAATTCTGCATTATTGGATTGTCTCTGACAGATAGATGGAGCTGGTAACCACTGTGAATGAGTCTATGGTTCACTGAATCCCCAACTAGGTGTATGCTGGCACCCATTACAAACAAGATCACGGCCAAGTATGACCATGTGGATGACATTTTCTTAGAACTTCTCTCCAGAAGCTAAAATGAGACTGAGTAAACTGTAAACTTCTGATTGGACTTTCTGAGGTTTGTCATCTGCCAAGGGTGTCTTATTGACAACAATTTGGATTACTCATTTTTCATTTCCAAGCTGGTATGAAGTTCCAGGCTGAAGTTTTCATATCAGTGATTGAAAATCATATTACGTATTGGTAAGCAAAGTATGGATTAGAGTCACGCAATTGTATTTGGGCTGGAATTTGAATTACGTCATACTGTGCCCACATGGAGGGAAAGCTATATTGGAATAAACTGAAGTCAGTCAAAGCCTCTTAGGTATCTTTATTTGAAATAATTAAGTTACAGAACAAGAGTAACCAGCCTGTCATAAGTGGCGGATCCAGAAATTAACAAGGGGCTCAAATTTTGAGTCTGGAAAAAATGTCCACCCATTTTTGATAAATTGGCCCAAAAACTAATAACCTGGGTCCCCCCTAGACTATCAGACTACACACAACATAAGATTTAATGCAATTTAAAATTACCTGATAGATCCCACATAAAGTCATAATTACCTTTAGCAAGCAGAATGGTGTTATAACATTGTAGGCCATGTGAAAATAGTCTCCAACACTTGGCATGTTCAGTGGAAACCACTCAAGCGGTACAAAAAGCTGGAACGTACAGAGATGGACATAGATTTTACCTAGGAAAGATTGAATATAGAGCTTGAAAGAATATATTTTTTGAAAGTTCTGCAAAGCTTGCCAATTCTGCCATTAATGTTTGCTAATTTTGACAATTAAATACACTGTATGTCTTACCATAGCAAATGGTCGTCCAAAATCTAAAATCCAGTTTTGTATAGCAAGCGTCACCCATATGTCTGTATGGAACTGGCCAGGTGTTCTGGAGCTTCCTTTATCATCCTGCACACTAAAGATCATAAAAAGTTGATGACATTAAATTTCACGACACTATACCACTCATTGGAATTGGTAAGGCTAGCCCCAGGAGGCCATGTAAGAGGCTTGGACCCTGTTTTTATCGGTTCCATCATGGGCATGGTTCCATAATAAATTTACATTCACCATCATTCCACCTCATTGCAACATCTTTGTGCCATATATCTTCAACCTGAACCAATCTGAGATTATATGAATACCAACTGCACATTGCACTCAGAGTCAGTATGCAGTTATGATTTGATCTATACTTTCTTCATGATTTGGCCTTGCCCCAAAGTTGCTCCAACTGCATTACCATACTGACTGAGACTCACACATTGATAAGTGTGATAAATTTACAACCCCCCCCCCCTTATTCATTAGTATACCTTTGAATTCCATCACTGACTGAGGAATCTACCCTATTCTTTCCCTTGAGTCTACCACTCTGTGAAACCATTGTTTAAATTAATCCGTTGTTCTAAGGTAGTTCATAAACTTATCAACATGATGGTAACATTGTTCATATCAGACAATAACGTTAATGATTGATATTCTATCATTTTATCTTTACACGTACCTGTATCAACGATTCTGAAATATTCATGTTGTTTACATTTCAACGGGGATTCCCCATAATTACGCATGCGCAGTAGAGTTATACCCTGGTAAAACTCAAGGGGTTTCCCCGAAACGAAAGTCAATATTTTGAATATTTGAAGTATTTTCGGTAATAACGAGCATATTGATTGCACAAAGACGGTGAAACAAACGTCTAAAGATGCTAAGGTTAGCAGGCAGTAGTCTGCATAAAGCAGCTAGTGAAGGAAATGACATGGACTTGACGAAAATACTGAAACAAATGCCTCCCATAGAAATTGAAAAATCATTGAACAGTTTGAGTGAGGATAGTGAAGGACAAAATGTTACACCGTTGATAATTGCAAGTAAAAATGGCAATGAGAAAATTGTCAAGACTCTGATCAAAAACTCTCTAGTCAAAATTAACATCGACCAAGTCGGCTGTGTAAAGTTTGATGGCTATTCAATAGAGGGAGCAACATCTTTATGGTGCGCTTCGGGCGCTGGACATTTAGAAATAGTGAAACTTCTGGTTGAGAATGGGGCCGATGTCAACCATAAGACCGCATCTAATTCGACCCCATTGAGGGCTGCATGCTTTGATGGCAGGGTGAAAATTGTTCAGTACTTGTTGAAGAAAAAAGCAGATTTGACGATCACGAATAACTACAAAAATACATGCTTGATGATTTCTTGCTACAAGGGTCATAGGGAATGTGTATTGGAGTTGCTAAAATACAAAGCTGATCCCAATCTAAAAGCGCATTGTGGAGCAAATGCATTGTTATTCGCTGCAGAAATGGGACACTTGGAAATTGTTAAGGACTTGATGAAACACAAGGCTGACATGAATGTTACTAATGACTATGGTGTTACGCCATTAATGGCTGCTGCTGAGTCTGGAAAAGCTGATATTGTTGATTGGTTCACTAACCGTAAAGAATGCTCATTGCTTGCAAAAATAACAGCATATGAGCTCATTGGTGCCACATATGCAAACGATAAAGCAAACTATAACATTGAAAAAGCATTTGATTTCTTCAAATTGGCAATGAATAAAAGAGAGGAAAATGCAGCAAAATTAGATACAAAGAAACCAATAGGCAAAAATCCTGCTTATAAGAACCACATAGAATGTACTAGAATGAGTGAATTGGAGAGGATACAGGGCAAAGAAGAGAAAATACAACTTGAAGGTCTAGTCATAAGAGAACGAGTATTTGGGCAAAATTACCCAGACCTACCCCATCTTATTGTATACAGAGGGGCAGTTCATGCAGATAGAGGAGAGTTTGACGATTGTGTTTTGATGTGGCTATATGCACTTAAACTGCGCAGCCATTATGGTCGCACTGTGAATAAGGACTTACTAAGATTCGCCCAACTGTTTGCACAGATGCATTACACTGGTCATGGTGTTGACTTCACCCATATGATGATGGTACTAGAGGCGGGGATGAAGGAATTCCAGCTGAACCAGCGCAAGATGAAAAAGGGCAATAAGGATGAGATTAAGATCCAGGAGATGTACTACGACTGCAATATCACATCAATGATATATCTACTTATCATCGCAAGCAAGATTAAAATTAGTGAGGAAGAAATAGATGACGTGTTCTACCCATTTGCGTACAAGTTGATGAAAATGAACATCCGTCAACCAGAAACAGGAAACACCTTGCTCCACCTGGTGTGTGATCAGAACACCCACATTGATGGATTCCATATTAGTGATGTCGTGAAATTTCCCAACCATATAATGACTAGAATGTTTTGTGAATGTGGTGCTGATGTGAATGCAGTCAATACAGATGGGGACACACCTCTGCACACCATCGTTAGATATGATAAACCAATCAGCGACTTTCACACACTTCATGCAGCAATAATGTCGCTCATTGAATATGGAGCGCACGTTGATATGACAAACAATCTAAGGAAAACAGCAATAGACGTTAGCCTAACTGGTGTGTCTGAAATCATCATCAAAACATCAACAAGTTTTACGCTGAAATGCCTCACAGCACAGGTTGTCAAAAAGAAAGAGATATCATATGTGGGGCAGATTCCCATTGAGTTAGAAGAGTTTATAGAGATGCATTGACGTTGAATTGTAGACGTGTTTGACATTGCTCCTTAAGATTGAGCTATTGTTCTTGATGTGATAAACATGATAAACAATACCCATAGACTAGCTACATGTATATTTAAACTGTTACCAAAACACTAACAGTTATCTGACATGTACTTATCTGGGTGTCCATGATTATTGGTCTGGACTTTAAATTATCTTGATTTATTTTATTTTGAAGATCATGAGTTTTTTATTTCTGCAATATTTATAATGGCAAGGTCAAACTCCAAAGTATATAATAAATTAAAGTTATTTTGATTGTAGGGATTTCATTAAATTGAGGAATTAATCTAGATGTCAAATAATTAGCCTCAACTGGCAAATTGTAATCCTGTGTTCATCAAATAAGATCAGAAAGATGAAATGTTATAGGCCCTAATTATCTTAATATCTTTATCCTAAATGTTTTGAATACTGTGCTTCTACATAATCTGAGGGCTGTTTGAATTTGGCCCCCAAAATAAGTTACCAAATCAGCCCAAATTTTGAGGCCCATTTTCTTCAAATTTGGCCTCAAATTAAAAAATAAGGCCCTATAAGGCCCAGTAATAACCAAAAAGGCGCACTTTTTTGGCCCAAAATTTTTTCTGAGCTCACCCAAGGGGTGGGCGCCCCCCCCCACCCAGATCCGCCAGTGCAAATTAAGTAGATGTACAGTATGCTATTGTAAACAATTGGGTTTAGAATTATTCAACCAGTTGCAGTTTTGTTATTAATGTTATTTAGTATTTACCATGTTTACAAGTACATGGTGACCCAAAAAAAGAAGAGTACAAGAAGAATATTGAATGTTATGTAACAAATTTGGTCTCAGATTGTCATCCATAGATAGTAGTTTCTGTACATGAAAAATGAAGTTGATTACATTTGTATTAAAGAAATTATTTCATTTTTGGAGGGTTCTGTTTGTTGGGTCACCCTGTATACTGTTATATACAATGGCTCTTGAGATACCTGGATCTGTAGTTGTCTAAGTTAAGAGGCTAAGATAACCTAAGTTTGTTTGTGTTCATGATAACCAACAATGGCCAATAATACTTGAACTCAACCCATAGAGAGTAAGTCAAGTCAATATGCCAGATAATAAATATAATCATTAAAGTTATTTTCAGTTTCAAAGTTATTGACTAAGTTGAATTTTCATTTTGTACACCAGGCAGCTGAAAATTGACGTATACAGCTGTATGCAAATGTGATATCGCTATGTAATCACTCAAAATGTTATGATTTTGAAAGAACTTCTGGTAGGGGGGGGGGGGGGGGGGGGGGGGCTCATGTCTGAAAATGATTTATACATTTATTTTTACCAACAACTAGGAAGGGTTATTTTTGATCATCATTATTTATGTCAAATAATGTGTAACTTGTGCTATTTTAAAGTGAAAGTAATAAAAATCCCTTGCATGTGACAATGACTAACATAACGTGGGAGGCTGGCTGCTGAGTCAGAGTTAAAAACAGAAAATAGTGTTTGCATATCACAATTGTTCTAGTCATCAGTTCTCAACTTTATTATTTCATGATAACGTCTTGAATTTATTGTTAGCTATATATTCCATCTGTCCTAAGATTACTGTCAGTATGTTTAATTTGGTGATTTTTGTAAGGGTTGGAATGTAATGTTATAAACCAATTGAATGCTATATGAAACATATTTTTGAATTCCCTCATATCCAGCAATCGTAATGTTAAATCGGACATCACCTTATCTCCTAACTGGTACTATTACTGAGATTTCATATCAACACTTTAGTCTACTAAATTAATGTTAAAAACTCATATATGTGAGCGTTAATGCAGGGGCATTTCATACAGCCTATAAACACTGCCCTTTCATCAAATGTCTTTTCTGGTTTCCTTAATTTCGCCAATGTCTTAAGAAATTGATGGATAATTTCAAGATTACATGATCAGACACATAAACATGGCATATACCACATACGTTTCTCATATTTAGTTGTTGTTTTTTAGTTGTTGTTTTTTGTTGAACCATATATTACGTACATGGATAATTGTATTTTATTTACAAGTAGGCTGCATCTTGTATTAGACCAACATAGCATCAAGTTTCACTAGAGCTGCTTAGAACACTTCTTATCAGAAGTGTTGACAGCTCTCCTGATAAAGAAAGTGTCTGGTAATTTCTGGATTTGTACAATAAATGTACATACATGTAGTTACTAATTGTCTATGTACATGTACAAAATTGCATACTCTTACCATGTTCAGAAATTGTAACTACTACATTGAGGGATACCTGTAATGCCACTGATGATTGGGTCCCTCATGTATGTTAAATTAGGCTAGTGGCGATAGAATTTCTTGATAAAAAACTACCAAGGGCTGAAAATGTGATTTTGTATAACTCTAAAATGAAAGAATAAACCTTGTTTGAATTTATTATAAGAACTTGATATTGTTTAAAATTGATTTGTTTTGATCAATATTCCAAGGCCAAAAATATATATATATATTCCATGGCACAGTTTTTTAATATAGTAATTCCCAGAATTTCAATTGCAATTATTTTAATTCACCACCGAAAAGTGGTGTATGGTTGCCATTATTCATTGTGACTGGCATTTGAGTTCACATTTGTAAGTATTATAATTTTGTTATCATTTGCAAGAACTTAAACCAAGAGTGACATTTTGCCATGTTAATGCCTTGTTTTGTATACAACTGCATTACCCACCTTGTATTTAAAATGAATGGTTGAGGGAATAAAACATGAAAAGAAATAATCATGATCAATATTTCAGATATTTATATGATGTGTACTCATATTTCCTGACTTAAATAATTTCAACTTTTGTTGAAGAGTTTTTATTTTTGCAAGCTATATTTATGTGAGAACTTGCTCATCTAAACTTAGCCCTTTTCCAAGGGGTGTTTTGAGTACACAGGTTAAACTGTACTGTTATATGTGGTTTCTAATTTCCCAAATATCATATCTGATTTATAAATGGAACAGTTCTCCTTTATTCACACAGGAAATATGATCTGTTTGCATATAAATGTAAAGATCAATAATGAAATTGAAAAATAACTGATCTCATTCGGGAATGTGACATGAAAATTTATCTTGCAGGGAGGGGGAATGGTCACACTGTTAGTCAACTTAATTTAGAGTGATTTAATTCAGCGAATTGGGCAAAATTGGAAAATTTGACCATTACATAATGTAATAATAATCTTATGAAACACCATTATATTGCACTATTCAAATATTAAAATGGTACCAATGATAATTGATTGCACTCACATTTACACTGGATAAAAACCCTGAGGATATCAGAAAAATTTGCGAAGACATGGATTTGTGAATTTTTGCAATTCGCCAAATAAAAATGGTCGCCTTGTTATGTGCACAATTTAATTTACTAAGGAATTTTATATTGTTGTACAAGAATGTCAGGGTGGAACTTTTTGTTTGCTTTACCAATCTGGTTTGTATTGATGTATTGTATGATGGTAGTCAGGTATGTGATGCAAAAGTTTGAATGATCAAAAATTCCAGAATGTTTAGCTTTCATTTTCAAATTATCAATGGCATTCATTCATGATCTGAGGCAACTATTTTAAGAATATACCATATATGGTAGGCCTATGCATTGTATGTGATGAAATACCTAAGTTAATACATGTAATTTCCAATGAATCAGGAAGTAATACATTTTGGCATATTCAATCAAAGAAAGTGGCATTTTTCTGAATGGATACTTATAGCACTTGTTTGATAAAAGGTTCCCCCAATTTAGTATATCATGTATATAAACACCATGTACAAATCAGCCAATGTTTTAATTTTCGACCTCAAAATCTGCACGTCTATTGAGTTTTATAACATATATTTGTGCCAAGTAGTCATTATATACTCAGCCTTGCTCTTAAAGTAACTAAACCAATTTTGACTGTTTCACTGTACTTTATTGTTATTACTAGTACATACATCCCCTATCCTTTAACTTCACAGTATGAACAGTTGATCAAATAAACAACAATAAATCTGTATTATGTTGTACATATTACATTATATATATTTTTAAACAAATGCATTTACAGTCCTAAAAATATGTTACATATATTTCATTTCTAAATAAAATATACTAGTAAAGTACAGTCATAAAAATATGTTACATATATTTCATTTCTAAATAAAATATACTAGTACAGTACTAATACAAATGTATTTCTACCATCAATTTAATCTTTTTAGTTTTTTAGATATAACCTATATCCAAAACCTCCCAGTACATAACCCTTATATACCCTATATCCAAACACTAGTAACACTTGAAGAGATTATTTGATGGCTGGGAATCACTTTGAAAAAATGGGCCAAATAAAGTGTGCCCCAAATAAGGTAGAAGTACAGTAGTACCTGAAATTTGAAAAATATGTTCCATGAAAGGTGATATTTAACAGTGGACTAGAAATCAGTAAATATTTCATTCAAAAGTCCTTTCATTGGCTCTATTAATATGCTTGGTTTTGATTTAAAACATGTACATTTAATACTGCAGAAGGCATCCAATGGTTTTGAAAATATAACATTTATTGCTTGTGTAAATGACAAGTCTTTGCTATAAATAGTCCAACAATGTTACCCTGAAGGCACCCTAAAATACAAGTACAAAACTAAAAGTATACAAAAGTTTTAACATTTTTTATTACTTATATAACAACTAATGGGCCCAAAAATTTTGTAGAGCCTCAAAAAAGTCCTTTTTGGGCATAATTTAGCCTTTTGGCCATATTGATTAGGCCTTTTTAGATCAAATTATCAAAAAATGGGCCTTACATTTTAAAAATTTGAGCCCAATTTTTGGTTTTAGGGGCCCAATTTTTTTTCTGGGAAATCTTTTTTCCCCCTGAGTCAAAATTTGCCCCCACCCTCTTGTTAGATTCTGGATTCTTAGGCATATATGGAAAAAACTATAAGTAAGCAAAAAATGAAAAACTGAGACAATTTTATCTTTTGTCCCTGCCTCTTTAAACTGTAACTGCATTTCATTCATGTTTTACAGTATTTTCCAAGAAATGAAGTCATTTTTTGGATTATTTTTATTGGAAAAAATCCAAATGACACCAAGGGCGTTACAATACCCGGGAATTTATCGGTTCGTGCAGTACTTGTTTGTGATAGCGCCCTCTGTAGGTCACTGTGCTTGTAGCCTACAGTAATACGGGGTAGGATATCGGGAATTCGGTCAGTTTCTATCCGTCGATTACGCTATGAATTGAAGCAAGTGTTACCACTTTATCCACTTAAACAATTTGATAATTGATTAAATCTTTGAACAAAATCGATAAACACGTTATACACTTCCTATCTCCTTAGAAATTAGCATGTATTTATGGATTGTGTTTTCGAACAAGGCTCGACCCATACCAATAGGGAAATCCTTATGCTAATTAGTCATATTTTCCTGGGGAATCCTAGATTTCAAAGACTCAGTCTGTTATTGTGTCAAATGTAAACGCTCTTTTGCAGACAGAAAATTGACAGATTAGCTTTTAACTTTCAGCTTTGATGTTTAAATATTCTGTATTTCTACCGGACTTCTTGCTGAATATCATATAATGTTATAACTTGATTTGGACCATTGCCTGATTGATCATAGTGAAATTTTGATTGTGATTCATGATTGATTGGCAAGAAAAATAATTCCTATTGTTTTCCAGCAAAGTCAAAATGTTACAGCATGAGTTATAATGTCGAGTTTGCATCATGTTAAATTCTGCTAGTGATTAGAAGTCCATGCACAAGCACAAACACAAGAGACAAACACACCCAGGCTCCAGGCCGTGGATGGAAATATAAAACTATTTAAGGCACAAACTGGTATTTAATAGACCGATATGTAGTGTCTGCCATGTATTGAAAGTAAACCAATCTGCATTATTAATGTTACTTCTATCAATACATGGATTGAGCAATGGAAAAGCAATGGCACAATCAAAAATGTGCATGTCAATCGTGAATATCTCTCGGTTCAAAGCTTATTTCAACCAGAATCGTGTCAAAATATGTGTCTGAGTAACAGTTATACATTATAAGGTCGCAAACTCTTACCAATTATTAGCCGAATGGCTTATTTTCAACGAAATGTCCTTAAGACAACAGCCCTGGGTCGCGCCTGAGACCAAAAACTGTTTCAAATATCCCTCCCCTAATTATATTGGATAATCACATTTATGCGTGCGCGCGCAGCTCATCCACTGAACGAAACGCCACTTCCCGCTGAAATCACCGGGTATTGATCTTTCCCTTGATGACACTGGTACTTATTCATCAATATACATAGATATGCCTGTAGGCTTATCATACCAGGATGTATGATTCATAATCTCTCAAAAGAGGTGACAATAAGGAAGAAATGCAAGGAAATAGGCCTACAATTATTGATTTCATTATCATCATTCAAGTGTCATGTCAAAACCACATAGAACCAATGCTTGTTAGTATATTTTTAAGAAATGGTTTTTGTTTCAGTTAACACAAATTTCACTTTGTATCAATACAACAATGCAATAGCTAGAATATATAAAAGTCAACCATTGGATATAAGGAGGGCCCAAAATATGTTTTTTAATGCTGCATTTTCAGGGAGCCAAACCTTTCCTTTTTCGGACCCACCTCCACTTCCCAATATACAGACCTATCTCTGTGTATTCAATCATAACTGGCTCACTACTTAGCCAGTTACACTGTTCCACACCTGGATGACTCTAACTGCAGTTAGCTTCTTTCAGATGGTTGCCGAAATTCTTTCGTTTCCAATTTCAGCTAAACTAAGCTGAATCTTGATTCAAAAAGTTTCGGAGTCATTCTAAGTGAAGCTGTTTTCTTTAAAATCCCCCCTATTGCTGTTGTTAGAGCATTTATCTGTGGTCGTTTACAATCATAGCTTATTAGTTTGCATGGCGGAACTTTTGAAATCAAGATTCACCTTAGTTTATCGAAATCAAAAGAAATTTGGCAACCATCTTGAATGAAGCTAACTGCAGTAGAGTCATCCAGCTATGGAACAGTGAGTTAACTTCCCTTATATTTTAAATAAGGATTCTGTTTTAGTTATTATATTCGATTGAATAACATAATGGACACATGTAAACCTGCTATTGCACTTCTTTTAGATCACACACAATTCTTCTGTCAAATATGCACTTTAACTGGCAACATCCATATTTTCCTTTTATTTCACTATAGTGCAGACCAAGGACTCTGGAGCCATTGTTCTAGAGCAAATTTTGTTCCTGTACTGACTCTCTCTATGTCTGGGCCTGTATCTGCCCTTACTGCTGTTAGAACACTGGTCTTGAGCATTTCTTCATGGGGCACACCATCTCGTATCACTATAGCCCTGCAAGTTATACAGAAAACATGGGCAATAATAAACAAATGATCAGGTCCTATGTCTCTTGAACATTTCCTCAAGGGGCACACCATCTCGTATTACTACACCCCTAGAAGTTATAGAGAAAATGTTGTCAATAATAAACAAATGATCAGGTCCCATGTCTCTTTATTCACTACACTAGTCTTGAACATTTCTTCAAGGGGCACACCATCTCGTATCACTACAGCCCTGGAAGTTATTGAGAAAATGTTATCAATAATAAACAAATAATCAGGTCCTATGTCTCTTAATACACTACACTAGTCTTGAACATCTCTTCAAGGAGCACACCATCTCGTATCACTACAGCCTTGGAAGTTATAGAGAAAATGTTGTCAATAATAAACAAATAATCAGGTCCTATGTCTCTTAATACACTACACTTATCTTGAACATTTCTTCAAGGGGCACACCATCTTGTATCATTACAACCCTGGAAGTTATCATGTAAAGGTAGAGTTAAATCTATCACAAGAATTTTAAATGGTTAAGGATCCATAACATAATAAAGAATAGGTAATTGTTTTCATTTCATCGACGGCTTTTCCTTTTGATAGTTTTATTAAATGTAACATTTTTCTTATTTAGTGTTCATGATCAAATTACTCTGTATTACCTAAAACTCACTTGCTTAATGGATTTCATCAAGAATCAAAAAACAAAGAGGATTAGCCTATATCACAACACAATTAATTTTTTTAATGTGCATTTTATTTTTTGTTTGCTCGTATTCATTTTATAAAATAGTAGCACATGAACAGCAGTGCAGTATGGCAATAATGCCATCTATAAAATACATGCATATAATTCCAAGTAAGCTACTCACCTAAAGTCCTGAGGAATATCTTTAGCTTGTGTGTATGTGTTCTCTTCATCTGCAGCCACAATAGCCTGGACCAGGTCTCTACCCACCCATGCAGCAGCACCTACCTCACCTGGGTCAAGCTTTAAGCGCTTATCAAGCTCCTCACTGGTAAAGGGTGGTGCCAGTCTAGCCAACATGTATATTACCACATGGTGCCGCTTTGGTGGGCCTATAGTTAACTTTGTGGGATAAACTGACTGGAACAGATAAAAGGCAAAACATAATTCATTTGGTCTTTGCAGTTTTGTCATCTGAACAAGAATCTCAGTTCTGATATAAAATATATTTCTCATAAATTCTCATTTAATAGTGTTATCAATACAAAGGACAGACCATTAGAACAATATACCAAACATTTCTAGTGAATATCTAGCTTTGTTAATTTGGAAACTCAATGCACAGATGGAGAAATAAGTTAGAGAGAGAACTGGTGATTTGTGACTAAAGAACCAATATTTGCATTGTGAGAACATTTTTTTTTTTTTTAATATATATTTATTTAAGTCAAGAACAGCTACATATTTGTCACATAATGTTTACAGAATCAAATATATCGAAATAGATGCATACACGTTGTAAAAGTCAATTATGCTAAATTATCAAGGAAAATAAGTCGAAAGTATATTGTTTAGAGGATCCCATTTATCTCCTCTTCCAACACTTATGTCAAGTTTGTAGTAGGTAAATACATTTAACTTAAAACCTCTAAATGTTGGTTTCACTCTAGAATGTTTACATAGGAATACATATCTTTTAAAAATACTAAAATCATTATTTAAAACAACCGCCTCTTTGGTCATTAAATTTGGTCCTAATATGATAGTTTGCTTGTTACAGAAATGCTCATATTCTTTTGGGAGCCATTGTTTTATATCTCGTACAAGGTTCTGGACTATCGCACAGTTGAACCACTTTAATTAACAGACTGATACATGAGATATAAAGTAGTTATTCACAAGGATGTATTTGATATGGGGAATATCACAAGGATGATATTAACATTCCCCAAGAGAATGTAGTGACCAAGGGAAATATCAATATCATCCTTGTGTTGTTCTCCCGACTGGTCAATGGTGACCTTATACCATGGTCAAGAGCAATATCTACATCAAAAACCCTCTGTTGGATGAGGAAACAATAAACGAATTTTGGAAATGTTGACCTTTCCTGTTTTTCATGTATTGCATTGTTAGAACATGGTACTAAACATAATATTAAACAATGAAAGTCCTTTTGTGAATCACCAAGAATGTGATTGTGAATTTGAAGAATCAAATGAAAGAAGATTACCCCAGGAATAAAATGTACCTGGGACTGATATTGGGATGATATTGAGATTAGCGGGAAAATATCAGATTAACAACCATATCCTCCTTCTAATTTCAAAAATACGTGATTTATCACTTGCTAAAAATACATCTGATATTACTCTGACCATGGCATAAATAGAGGATATCCTATGATTTATGAGTGATATGATTTTTATCCACGAATGGATATGATATCTGCACGAGCGAGCGTAGCGAGAGAGTGCAGATATCAATATCCATGAGTGGATTAAAATCATATCACGAGTAAATCATAGGATGTTCTTTTTATTCCATAGTTAAAGTCATCATCAGACTCGTCGGAAATTAAGTTATTTAATTCGAATTTCCAAACGATCCGGCGATGTTGACACTTAGCCTCGTTTTGAGTCTGAAGTAGCAAAAATCCATAAACCATCGCATACGACGTCGTATGTCATGGCTAAAAAACCGTATGTTATGGTTAAGTGAAAATTTGTCAAAAATATCATATTTTACCACTGATTACAAAAATACCGTTTTTATTTTCACATGTTATCCTATAAATGTCATGCTAACTATGGAATAAAATGTGATATTTCTTTTAACTGTCTATTGGTAGAAGAATGGACTCATGGGATTGATGAATGATCCATTTTCTGTTTGTTGTATCGTTTGTCAAATGGTCTTTGGTTGGTTGCATTTTGGTTGGTTTGGGGGAGACCATGTGGCAACACAGTTAGTATCATGTTATTAAGTATATCTTCTTATGTATTATACTGAGTTTACTGAAGAAATACTGTACATTTCCATTCTTCGAACATTGACCCCTGCACTAAATAAAGGAACTTTATGTGACAATTGCTGTCCTTCTATGCCAATAATGTGTCTATCTATATGACAAGTAAGCCCACAAGTTGGCTCTCAATCCAACCTCATAAAAAACTATGTTAATGATCTTTAACTTGACATTTATTGCTTATTCTGACTTACCCTTTGTAAGTGATGTACCTAATACAGTAAAATTACAATTTTGCAACATCATCTATTCAATCTTGGGAGTACACAATAAAGTTTCAATATACCACAACAGCTGATAAAACCAAAAAGACAACATGAAGGGCACTCAATAAAATGAGGATAAGATACTATAACGTAGCACAATGACAATGTGATATAATGAATTAAGGGGTTTTATCAACAATGTCAGTTACACTTACTTTGATGTATTGACAACAAAGATTGTTGTAAGAACCTTTGAAAATTATCATCCTAAAGTACACAAACAAGATATATATTTCTATATTTGTTGTTTTTTATTCACATAAACATGTAAGATTTGCAAACATTTCAGAGTGTTCAAATAAGGATTTCTCTATTAAAAAGTACTCTTACAGAATTAAAGTATGTAAACAATTATTGACCCTTACAGAGGTTGGCTGTTTAACAATAATTGTTTTGTTGGTCAAGAGTCATTTCTCTGATTTTTACTCAATTACTGGTAATTTGGTTAGTATTCAAAACTCTCTGATCAATCAGAATCATGTATTTAGAATTGGATACAAAAATACTGAATAAGGCTTACAGTTTCTAATTAATGGTTTTAACTTATCTGCTCATAGTGTTAAACAACCCATAAAAACCATTAAAGTCAAATTCAAATGAAAAAATCAAGAAAAGATTTTATTATACAAACATCATTGTAATGAGTGAACAAAATTATCATCTAGCAGATAGTTTGGTAAGATTTTTTTAACCTGATTCATATGATTTTTTCCAGAATCGTAAGACTGCAGATAGTACACCATCATCAAAATGTGTAAATACTATTCACCAAGTGTCACCACAAAATAGCAATAATGTTCACAGTTTCTCGTTCTAACTTTTATATTTCAAGGCACCACTCTGCAGATAAAAAATCTGCAAATATACCCATTTGTGATAATTTGATGAATACAAATTACACATTTGGATACTCCTAATTTCATGGACAGAATCATACTAAAGTGAGTCTATGAAGATGAAATATCTTATTCTGCTACCCATTTAAATCATCCATGGAGTCCAACACAATATGAACTTAGAAACTCCTAAATAGTTCTGAGTTGTAGTGGTCTATATACACCTATTACAATCACACATTAATGAATGTTTGGACATTTCAAAATAACAACAGTTTTTTGAGCTACCACTTAGGATTTATTGGGAACATTTCCAAACAAAAAAAAATGGTTGTCTATAAGAAAGACTTTTTATTACTCTTTACAAAAAAATACAAAAGAATAAATTAAGTCAAAAGAGGTAGAATATGAAGATGAGACATTGGCATCTTTGTGATGTGACATCATCAGTTTATGTGTCCATGACCTTCATCGAAACATGTGAAAGCATCATCAAAATGTGGGAATGTGGCGCTCACCATGCCATTTTTAATTGTTGCCAATTAACCGTTTGTACGTTTCTGAAAATATAAATAATACAATATGATAACAATCATCATATACCAATATCTTAACTAAATACTCATAAACAAACAGGAATTGTAGTAATATTATATCAACAAAACATTTTATGATAAATTCTTATAGACTAGATCAGTGTTAAAGGTATTATTTCCCATGTCAGTCACATCTTTGTGTTTCTCAGGCTATGTTGAATTCCCCTTTGCAAGAGCTTCATCTTAACTCTTCAAATATAAGATATAACTAATACAAAAAAAAGGAGGACAGAAATCATCGCAGCAGATTCCGGACAGTCATATGTTGGATTTTGACTATTTTCTGAGGATTTAAACAGGAGCATGAGTTTTCTCTATGGGAAAATAACATGGGAAATATTGTTTTCCACATTATCTAAAAGGAACTACTTATTCCTTTGAAGGGGTTAAGTGTGTGTCAAAACGTGACATATTGATGCAACAAAAATTGAAAAAGTAGAGATGGAAGGGATCAAAAATCTGGACAACATTATTTAAATTATTTTATCATCTCTATGAGTGCTTTTCCTGGAGGTAATACATTGGCCTAACATATGCACCTGTTTAAATCCTCAGAAAATAGCCAAACTCCAACATATTACTGTTCGAAATCTGTTGTGATACTTTCCTTCCTCCTTTGATACATGTCATTTGAAAATGCTACATTTTCTGCCCACCAATAACTAACTTTTGTTTAACAAGCAAATTCCTTCCAAAGCTATCAGAGCTAAGTTTGCGACCTGGTTTGAGATTAGTGAGATCTTATGAGCCATTTAACAATATTTCTATATATCTAAGAAAATGTTCTAAATGTAAAAAATGTTCCATTGAAATTGAAAACCAATGGATCTTTTATATACTCTGCATGTGTGTATCTAAGGAAAATTATTAATTAATAATGAAAACTTTTAAAAACTGAATGAATGCATATCAAGCTTGTGTTTTATTCTACTTTGATTGTTGTTATACAAACATTCATTATAATTTATGGAACAGGAATACAATTGTGGATTAATGATAATTCCACAATGGAACAATATAAATCAATTAAAATACACTACATATCTGTAAATAGCAATAAATGTATATTCATACTAAGTGTTCCCTTAATTCCCGCACTGTAATACAATTTGATTACTCTAGTTATCAGGACTTCGGGAGCTTTCATCTTTCATATTATTTGTACCATTTATTGAATTATTCTAAGTATACCAGAATTCCCAGTCAGCCTGTGGAATACTTTAGTTCGTCAGATTGAAAGATTAGTGGCATTTTAGCATTTACGCAGGTTGAGATGCAATCATATATATGGATAATGGTACATTTGAGAATATGAAACTCTTTAAAAAGCTTTCACAAAAATTTAATTATGTACTTCATTCCCAAAACGATTTAGTATTTATTTTTTAATAAGAATTAATGTGTAGATAAGATG